GGGACTATTGATAAATAATATTAATGATCTTCCAAGATTGTTAATGTACATGCAAGTTCCAAATTTACAAAGAGACAGCCATCTTTAACTCGGCGGGAAGCGCACCCCATATACCAACACTGACTGTCGCTACTGGGTAAAAATTACCATAATAATATTAATGTAAGAACTAGAGTTATTTTATGGATAATTAAATATAACCAATTTTTATATTATATTGTGTTACATTTTCAATTAAACAAGACAGTTGGAAACTAATAAACGCTTGGTATTATATGTAATATTTGAAATTTTAAAACATAGCCCAAAAGCTCAGCCATTTTTTGCACAAAACGAAATATTTGCTAGTGTGTCTGGAGGGCTCTTTCCTGTTGTTTATTCGGAAAATTATTATTTTGCTCGCCATTACCACCAAGTAAAAGTATTATTTTACTTTTCATAAATGTATGTAGGCAGGTTTAAGATTTACACTTAATTTGTGGCAATACAAGAGACAACACCTTCAAGTAATCTCTTCTAGGTCCCTTTCGTCAAGATTTTCTTTATTAGTCGAACCGTCGAACATCTGTTGAAAGGTATCTAAAACGGCGCTGCACAAAATTACTTACAAAAATAAATATTTTCGAAAGTATGCACTATGTGGTAAATTTTATCCGGTAGCGCCTCCTGCTGAGTTAATATATGGGGACTATTGGGAAAAAACAGCTCGTATTTGTAAAATATCTGTAACATAAAAAAGACACACATAACATTACAGTTAAGAATCTATTGTTTTATCAGCCTATTAGCTGTCACACAACCATTTGTCATCAGCGTCACATGAGACTCGAGCCCGAGTGTCGGCGACGTGCCGGTTCAGGCAGATTACAATTTTTTTTACATTAAATAAATCTACACGAATTACGATTTATCTAATTTAAATACTTTATAATTTATATAATGAGAAGAAAAATGTTTTATTGTTGATTGTTTTGTTACTGTTATATGATAATTTTAGTACATCTCATTGTTTTAGTTTCATTGATCTTCGGTCAGTTTAATTTTCTTAAATACATTTTATTTCCCAGTTCCTGGTCACTATAAAAATCAAGTGTTCATTCCTCAGTTCATAATCCTTTTGAATGCTCATAAACCTATGTTTATTTCACTTGTAATGAAATTAAATTGAAAATTGTGCAGTCTGATGTGAAGTAATGCATACGTATTTTTGGTTTTATTGTTTTTGAGTATTATATATAAAGAATCGTTGACTGATATTTTAGCAATTCTCTGACGAATCTCTTCTAGTGTCGTTGGTTCATGTTGTCTACTTGCCTACTTCCCTATTGATCTGTCTCTAAATTGAATTTATTATAATAACACCATAATGCTTCTGAACGAAAAATCCAATTGCATCATGTATATTAATAATATGAATTATAATTTGTTCAGTTCTCGTCCCCTATACGACGTGTGTAAGTTTCCATCTTCACGTTATCGGAGCGTTAATAGTTTTTTGTTGCAACGAAACTTCTTAATATTCTATGTATTATATGTGCGGGTGCCGGATCTATCGTTGTAGTGAGAGGAGCTTCAACAGTGACTGGAACTTGTGACCCAGGTGTAGGTTTAAGGGATCCCTATCCAACACGCGTTAAACGCTGACCTCCACTGTCCAAGCTCCTCTCTACCTAACTAATTTAAAATGACCCTACTAGGGCTACCTTCGACACACGTTCAAAGAATGAAGTTATGTTAGTTCTCGACAGGCCCAAGTCTTTTAGTTGTTTGTAGAGAGATTTAGTTTTTATTGTTTTAATGCAGGTTATGAATGAGGAACGGGAAACGCTTGGTATGTAGTGTCGCGATGCTAACTCGTGTGAAGGGTATTGGGGTCGACTTAGTCTATGTATTATTGATAGCGGGGATATTTTCTTCTTAATTTTCTACTTATTTTCGTTAGGTTGTTCATACATTTATTATTTTAATGCAGTGATAAACATTATTAGATTTACGAGACCAATAAAACAATTTGAATAGGAATCCCCATTAATTCTAATCATTAAAAATAGTTTTCTGGTAATATTCTAACTATCCTAAGTGGTTCATGAAACGTCACCATATCCTATTTAACTTTAAACTCTGTAAAAATTTCATCATAAAAATGTCAACTTCTGATTTCCATACTAATTAGTAACTTAAACATAAAAATATAGACTAACTAGGTGAAAGACTACCAAACTGAGTAATGAGCAATATTTATCTAAGCAATGTTAAAAATAATCAGATATTTATTAAAAATTAACATCTTTTAAGTTACTTAAAGAACTGACGGATACCTAAACAAATTCACCTGAATGTCTAGTATATAAGAATTTATTAAATTTGACGGAAAGGTCAAAAGTGGTGTAAGTTGTAATTGCGATTTATTTAGATTAGAGAATCATTACCTGAACTTGACATATATTTTATACTAACTTTACATTCGTGATGAGTTGAGCTATTGATGTTTAATAAATATTTGATAACGTCAAGAAATATGAGACGAGATAAGGATGTACATATGTATTGTAGTCAAAGGAAAAGACTGTGATAAAATACTAATCACTTTTAAAGGCATTCAATAATCAGTTAGCGCATGTATGGCTTCTAAATTTTATCTTACATAAGTACATATATTTAGTAATCAATAATAAAGTCATCATAGAATTTATCTTCTAAATATTAGTATCGAAAAACTGTGACAACCGAAATTATATTTTCTCCAGATAATAAGCTATTTCGTCGAGATCGGCTAAAATAATGGAACTATTTATCTACTGGGTAATTACACGATATTTATATATTGAGATAAACATATTACCTTTACTCCTATTAATATTATATAAGAGAGATTTTCAAGGGAGTTAAATGTTACAAAGAAGAGGTATTATAAATTCTTTGACTTGGTCTGCACCGCCTGAGGGAGACAAAGATCCTATTGCTAAAGGATCGGGTATTATAGAGAAAACATTATACCTTTGTTGGTTAGAGTTTATTATCTAATAAACGTGATATTTTATACTCACTATCTATATACAGGGTGACTGGTGAATTACTATCAATATTTGAGGAGAATACTCGGTACATGATTCTCATTCGAATTATGTAAAAAAAATAGGCACTTAATTTTTGACCAAATTTCCGTATAAATAAATAAAGTGTGGACACGTTCCAAGTGTTCCAAATGTGGACGCGTGCGGCGGCGTGCTGATACAACAACACGCCGCCGCACGCGTGTGTGTGTGTGTGTGTATACCTAATCTGTAGGGTGTTCACACGATGCATAATTAATTACACAACTTTTGGTTAACTTTACTTAGAAGTTTATTAATATTTATGTTATATTAATTTTTATTTTGTCTTATATGATCGTCAAATATCACGTCCTCAAGTATCGATAGTAATTCACCAGTCATACCACCTGTATAAAAGAAAATCATGTTAGTTACACTATTTCTCGCCTAAAGAACGGATATACGGATTTGTCTGAACTTTGATAAGAAGGTAGTTTACAAGCAGGAGACGAACATAGGATACTGTTCAAAGCGATCCATGGAAAGAAATACTTAAGTAATTAAATAATCTTAAATACATTTGTAAATTTTTAATTCTAATACAGACGCAGATAAAGTCACTGTGAGAGCTAGTATATAATTTAAATACATTGATATTTGTAACGAAAATGTTAGTATTTATAGTGATCGTTAGGTTTGTCACAAGTTACATGAACGAAGAAGGAAAGGAGAATGTATTATATTCTGCTAACTGTAGCAATACTATAACACATTTTTGTTACCTAGTCCTCATGACACCATAACAGTGGCTACCTGTATTATTAATACAATAAAACATATGTACTACACGTATTTGATAACATAATATTTTATTTATATTTTTTCTACATAAATTAAATATTTATCAATTATCTTAGCAATTTAAATTTATGTATATTTGTTCCCCCTTTTTAAACAAATACTTAAAGGATCTTAATTGAAATTTGGGTATTACATATCATCAAAATATTTCAAATGTATAGTATAGTTTCAAAGAAATATTCATCGCCTACCTGACGATATGTTTAATATTGTTGAGGTCGTAAATAACAAAACATTATCAAACTTTGTTAATATGATAAAGGAAACTTGATAGGAAACGCCCGCCTAATATATAAAGCAATGTTGAGAACCGCTTTCTTACACAATAATCTATCAGGCAGACAGGCGTTTAATATTTTAGGAAATGATAAAAAATACTATTATTTTTATAATTATAGTAATTGAAAAGGTTTCGAATTGTTTAAAAATGATATTCTGAACTGAATACTTTATTTTTATAACCTTTTTACTGTTTTGTAAAAAGTCTGTTTGAAAAATTTATAATATGGATATATTTTAATATAGACTTGTTGAAATAATTATATCCAGTATACGTCACAAAACGCTAAAGAAAGTGTAAAAATAACCAATCGAAAACTGTTTGAAATCTTCCAGCTAATCTTAAATTAGTTAATTAATTATTTATGACTGTGTAATTAATTGAATAAGAATCAATTAATGAGTCACTTAATTAATTATTAATTTATTTAAGGCAAATCATTTGTCGGCAATACTAAATCGTATCTTTTGCACTATTTAATACATTTCCTTTATTTTATTAACCATCATACATCGTACAAGCTTACTCGTAGCTCAGACGAAACTTTAAATTGTTAGATTTATTTTAAATACAATTATTTTAAACTATTTTTTGTTTTTCCCTCGTCCTTTAGTCTGTAGCTAACACAAGTTTAGTTTTAGTTTCTACTGACTAACTCTCTTCTGGCAACATTCATTAACAGTCAGTGACAATGAAGTATTGACACTGTAATGACGTTTGGTTTGAAATAAATGAAATTATAAAATGATTTTTTTATATTAAAAATGACGATATTAAATTGAAGATTACATAAAGTTAAGTGACTAAACAAAATTACCATTAAAATGGAAGAATACCTATCGACGACGATCAGCAAATTGGTTTGTAAAATTATTTTTAAATCATTTGAAGTTTTATATGGTTTAGAAAATTTGATTTTAAATGCATATTAAAACTTGCTCCATAATATTTTTACTTTTTAATTAAACTATCATTTTTTCCAATATTGGATTTTTACACTTGCCAGAGGCGTAGTTGTTTAATTAATTGAAATTCAAAGCAGTTACTTTATGTCAATGATTATTTTGCTTTTTGCTGCTGAATAACTTAAGATACGATTCTGATGGTTGACTAGCGAGTGAATGTATTATTTCTATGTTTATAAAAATGAAAACTTATTAATATGTTCTAGAAATCCAACGATTACAATGAACTAACCATAGTTCTTGGCAATGAGAGTTGTGATTTAGACTCCGCTGTAAGTGCTCTGGTGTACGCAGCGTTCCTTCACTGGCAGTACTCACAAATAAAATGTAAAGCATGCACCGGGAAATACAGAGACGATAGCTACAAGGACGATATCTTCATACCCATCCTTGATGTGACGAGGAATGATTATCCTTTAAAGACAGATGTTGTGTATTGTTTGAAGAAACACAGCATCAATGAAAAAAATCTGATATTCAGGTTAGTGTTTTAATATTTAAACTGAATATTAATTAATGTAAGAATTACATCATCATCAAACATAGCACACGTAATCTTATTAGGACAACTGTAAAGTATATACAGATAGCCGACCAACATATAAAATTAAATTAATACTTACTGAGGGCTTTGTAAGAAAAATAAGTTATTTAAACAGATCAAGACATGTTAAAGACACAAGATGTATATTCATTTTATTAAAATGTTATTATTAATATATCTGTGTGTAGTGACAAGGATGGTTTAAAGAAATGTCACTTGTATGGAGACTGTGATTATAATAAAATAATTATGTTACTCTTTCAAATTTATTATATCTGAGGAAAAAGAGATAAAGTTCCTTATTCATATTGGATTCCTAGTGTATGTTTTTTGAAATGAAACATATTATGCAACCTCCAACAAGGTTGCATTAAACATTTTACACTCCTTGGGAGGGAGGGGATAGAAAGAGACAGTGAGTAATGCGTGTCGCTCGAAGGCATGTAATCAATATTGACTTGTGAGTAATGTTAATAAATTTCGTCTTAAAGAAAAACTAAAAATTTATTAAATAAATCTCTTTCTAACCCCTCCTCGACTTTTCATTCCAACATATGAAGTTTAACTTCTGCTTCACTTATATATATTAGTTGTATGTTAACTGTTCTAGAGACGACTTCGACTTTCTTCAGTTAGTGTCCAAGAGTAAAGTGAGTGTGGTGTTGACCGACCACCACTTTCTGTGTCCGAGGTTCGATTTCCTGTCTCCCTTCGTGACAGAGATCATCGATCACCGGCCGGTAGTGAACGCGTCCTTCACTAACATTCGCACCACAATCGAGTTAGTAGGCTCGTGTTGCTCGCTCATTACACACAGAGTGAGACACTTGGCTCACCTTATGAATAAAGACGGAGAGTTCTTCAACACGTACCCGGTCACCGCTGACATGTTACACAGTGAGTACAATACTACTATAATAATAATAAAGCTTTATTTATTCAGGTGCAGGTAGACCGAATAATAGTAGAGTTCAAAAACTGCACAGGTCTATTCTCACATATTCCGGTCTACCTGCACAGGTGGACCTCTCCAGTAGACCGTACCGTATGTGGCATTATGTCTATGTCACAGCTAATCTGTATGATATGTATGTTTATAATTTTATAAACATGGAGCGTCATACAAAGATTAATGTATATTGTCATAATTTTATAAAATACTAGCTTTCCGCTCGCAGCTTCGACCGCGTGGAGTTCGGTTATATCGCGTTTCAAAAGTCTGGGATAAAAACTATTCTATGTTCTTTCTCAAGGTCAACTCTCTCTCTGTACCAAATTTCATTAAAATCAGTTCAGTGGTTTGAGAGTGAAACCGTAACAGACAGACAGACAGAGTTACTTTCGCATTTATAATATTAGTAGTGATAACATTAGCAGCGGATTTTGCTCGTGTTAGGTTAGGTTATAATACGTCGAAGCCGTTTGTATACGGTCATAGTATACGACTTGCCTCCAACCTTATAAGCTGTCCTATATATATGTGTGCGTGTGTTTCAGGCGTCATCATCTTGGACACAGTGAACTTCTCCAAGGACGTGAACAAGGGGACCCCCAGCGACGAAGACGCGGTGACATATCTGGAGCGACTCATGAGGATAGACGACTATCACAAGGAGAGGTGGGGATGTGTGTGTGTGTGTGTGTGTTCGTGTCTATGTAATGACCGATCGCTATTAAACTTATTACATATAGACTAAATAGAGGCAGATGTTGCGGTAGAGAGAATGACTTAAGAAGATATGTACAAACATATACAGGGTGACTGGTGAATTCTATCAATATTTAAGGAGCATACTCGGTACATGATTCTCATCCGAATGATGTAAAAAAAATAGGTACTTAATTTTTGACCAAATTTCCGTATAAGTAAATAAAGTGTGTACACGTTCCAAGTGTTCCTAGTGTGGACGCGTGCGGCGGCGTGCTGATACAACAACACGCCGCCGCGCGCGAGTGTGTGTGTGGGTGCGAGTGTGTGTATACCTAATCTGTAGGGTGTTCATACGATGCGTAATTAATTACATAAGTTTTGGTTAACTTTACTTAGAAGTTTATTAATATTTATGTTATATTAATTTTTATTTTGTCATATATGATCGTCAAATATCACGTCCTCAAATATCGATAGTAATTCACCAGTCACCCTGTATATGTCTGTATGTTTATAGTATTATAACAGATTTGTTATAATCATCAAATTAATATTATTCCAAAGTTTGCTCTGACAGATGTCACAGACGGGAGATACTCCTAAATACTATATACACATGTATATATATATTCGTCGGGTCTTCTAGTATGAGTCGAACTTCGTATCGCCCTATGATAATCAAGAAATATCTGTTAGGTTTTTTTTATTTATATTTTTGGAGTTTACGACAGAATGATTGACATATTAGTTAGTTGTCAAATCTAATGTCAAAAAAACCCTTTGTATCAACAACTACTAATAAATTAAAAATTAATTAAAAAAACATTGTCCAGCGGACAAAATTGTTAATCTAAACCATTCCCAGATCCCCTTGAACACACACAAAAAAAATCATCAAAATCGGTGCAGTCACTCACAGAAGAATTATATATATATATATATATATATATATATATATATATATATATATATATATATATATATATATATATATATATATATATATATATATATATATATATATATATATATAACACGTTTTCTTCATCGTTCCAGATGTTCCAAGCTCCTGTCTCTCCTATCAGCCCGTAGCGACGTGTCATCCCTCAGTTCCTCCCAGTTGTTAAGGAAAGACCTCAAGATACTAGGAGATGTTCTTGTACCAAGCTTCCCCATACTAGTCAAGGTATACATCCCTACTAATATTATAAATGCGAAAGTATCTCTGTCTGTCTGTTAAGCTTTCACGCCTAAACCACTGAACTGGTTTTAATGAAATTTGGTACAGACATAGAGTTGACCTTGAGAAAGAACATTAGATAGTTTTTATTACGGACTTTTGAAAGGTTCTCTTGGAAACGCGATATAACCGAATTCCACGCGGGCGAAGCCGCTATATATATATATGTTATGCTTCATACATTATGACATACATTTTTACATATTATTAACATATTTGTTACACGACGGTGTCATAGTGATGGTTAAATTAAATAGTAACGGTATTACGGTGTAACAGCAGGTCTCGTTCATCTTCTAAGTAAACTCGTTCATTCCACACGGATATGACTCAGTTCCGTGTGAACAGACTTTATAGTTTTAATATTCTTTTTATAATATTATGTCACTATCTGTTCACTCTTCGTACAATATAGTCGAACCAATCAGTTGTAATTTACTTTAAAATTAAATTAATTCATTTACATTTCGGTTCATTCAATCCACCGACCGCGACCGTTCAAATCATAATATGTTCTAGCGTTTATTGAAGACATTATCAGTCCGTCTGTTCGTTCTTATCTCAAGAACTAATGCTTCAGTTTGTATTATGTATATCTGTATAAATTTATAAAAACAAAATAAAGATAAGTTTAATATAATGAGATCTATTTTCGCGAGTATTCATTTAAATGTAACTAATATTTTCGTAAACTACGCATTTTTTATTTTTGATATAAACTACATACTCCCGACGTTTCGGTTACTTTACAGCAACCGTGATCAGAGAGTATCACTAGTTCTATCATTACAATGTATCCCTACTAATATTATAAATGCAAAAGTAACTCTGTTACGCTTTCACGCCTAAACCACTGAACTGGTTTTAATGAAATTTGGTACAGACATAGAGTTGACCTTGAGAAAGAACATAGGATAATTTTTATCCCAGACTTTTGAAAGGTACTCTTGGAAACGCGATATAACCGAACTTCACGCGGGCGAAGCTGCGGGCGGAAAGCTATTTGTAATATATTTAATATTTTTTTCCAGGAGTTTCTCCAGCGGCCAGACAGCATATCATCTGTCGTTGAAGCGTTAAAGACCAACCAGTGTACCGTAGCTGTATTACTTGGTATGGACTTGAAGAACGAGTTACAGAGGGACGGAGCGGTGATAGGACTTACGAGAGATAAGACGACACAGGTACATACTAGGGACAGACTAGTGTGAATATAAAAATAAGAATGGTGGCCTAGTGGTTAAAAGGCCCGCCTCTCATGCATGAGGGCGCGGGTTCGATCCTGGCAAGTACCAATGTGATGTTCCCGAGTCATATGTACTTTATAAGAATATTTAGACATCACTGATTAATGCATTCCAAAAGAGGGTTGATGTCAGGCAGGCGGTCGTAAAAACAAATAGCCAAAACTATTCACAACATGTAAGGCAGACCCTGGCTATGGCTGGGAGATTGCCAGACAGAAGAAGAAGAATCATTGTGTTGTTTATATTTAGTTTTATTTAAAAAAAAACTGTTATAGAACTCAATCAAAAAGACAACACACATTAACAATAAAAAACTACCACAGAATACACAGTAGTGCCAATATAAATGTACTAGTTATTACAAACAAGTAGAAAAGCCTATTTAATCTTCTAACGAGGAAGTGTGTGTCAGATCAACTTTGTATAAGTTTTACCTCTTACGAGTATTTAAAATAGTTTCTAGAGCAGTTTGTGACTCTTAAGTGATCTAGTATTGAATGGGTTTTAGTGAAACTTTTCTATATAATATATTAGGGGGCGTTCATAAAATATTTGAGATATTTTATTTAATCTCATCTAATCTTACTTTAGAGGGGGGAGGGGAGGCGGCAAATATCACGTAATTTTTTTCTAAATGAAACAAAAAAAAATACTATTGTGGTCCATTTAATCCAGATTGTACATGCTTAAGATTTAATTTTAAGCACGAAGCAAATATTGTTTTCTATTTATAATAATAATCTAACGAGTTTACGTAAGAAATCCACATTTTGAAAACTCTCACGTGAGAATAAAACACCTCATGTAATTTATGAACGCACCCTTATATAATACATGATGATATAATAGTATATGTGTCTCACACAGACCATAGATGGCACTGATAGTTGGTTAATAAACATATATAATGAGATTTAAGACTTTCGCGAGCATTCATTAAAATGAAACTAATATTTTCATATTAATATGTGTATATTATTATTTTGATTACTTTGGCCTGTCCAGAGGATAGTGCAATTAGATAATTATTTAGTGTTTAGTCTATTACTAATTGTGAAAAATTACCTCAAAAATCGTTAATATAGAAAATATTTCATCTCAAACTTTCTTCTGATAATCTGCTTCCAATGTAGTTACGATGATTTGCTCTATCCCCGACTATATATTTCTCACTGGACCCTCTTCTCATTCCAGGCAAGGTCGCGTGTATGAGCTATAATAATAATTATAATATTTATTTGCTTTGAATGTAGGTACAAAATATAGGTGTATAAATAGATTTTAATATAAGTTCCAGTACATTCTACCTTAAGGCATGCAAATATTAGGCTTAAATTATAAATTAAAATTAACTATTAAATTAAAATAAGCAATTAAATTAACAATGCCATTATAATTATAAATTCATATTAAATGTTTTACAGATGAAAATCTCAATGATAGATAGATACATGATTAAGTTATATATTTTATACATTTTTTATTCATTAATTTCTTACAATATTATGTCTCGTCCATTAGGTAATTAGCTGCTAATATATAATAAATCACTATGTTTCAGTTGTTCCAGTATCTGTCAAGCTTCTCTCCGTCCCTGGGTCTAGTCAGCGGGTCCATGAGTGATGGAGTGTATTTCACTCAAAGTAACCTGGCTGCGACCAGGAAACAATACATGACCATACTAGCTAACTATATAGGAAATAAATAAATTATATAAAAAATATCTCGTTTATTACTATCCTTTTTTTTGATGTCGCAAGGAAACTCTTTTTATGAGCTATTCAACCGGCCTTGGCAGGTCCCTACTCACTAAAACCAATGCAAAGCCATCGTCCGCTATGTTGATTTAACCCGGATTTGTTTATTGCTATCCGTGGTACTTCACTAAGGAACTATTAAAGTAGAAACATACCTTTCCTACATACGTAACGTGTGGTATATATTTTGATCTCAGATTCATATTACATTTCTTAGATGTTGTAGTAATGTTTTCTGTATCTAAAAGTGAATTTAAAGACGATTTATTATTTTTAAATGTATATTTGCGCGCTGAAAGACTAAGAGTAAAGAAAAGATAGTGTTTATAAGAAAGAGAAAGGGTTGGGAATACCAGACGTTAGATTTAAAGCAACTGAAAAATAATTTTCTAAGGTTAACAAAAGATTATTATACCTATCAAAATGTCTACAATTTAATATATTAACAGAAACAAGTTTGTACTTCGTTTTAAATTCAATCAACATACTCAGAAGAGTGAAGCAAAGGTGCGTTAAAAATGTTGATAAGTTCATTAGGCTGCTATAAGTCATAGTTAAGTTGCAAAAATATTCGTGTGTATGATTTTGTGTATTAAAATGTGTCGATGTATGTATAGAACAGTATAATATAATATAGTGTATAAGAGTATAGATGTGTAGATACATTATTTCATTTCATAAAAGTATGATTTTCTTAAAATTAAAATAAAAGTGACAAATGACGTAAAAATAACATAAAGAATAAACTTAAACCGCATGCATAAATTGGAAGACCAGTAACGTTTTACGATATTGCGATAGTGTGTTGAAGTTTTCAAATCATTATTTACCAGTCATACATAGAAACAGTTTACTTGCAGCAGTTTATGTTCTCCTAATTTTATTTCACTATTTATTAAGTAATTTTTAATTGATTTTACAAGTAAAAAATAAATCTATACTCAAACAAGGATTTGTTGAACGAATGAATTATTTAATTAACGGGTTTAGTTAAAGTCATTGTCATCAAAACAAAAAAAAAACTTCAATTACAAGCTGATTTGATAGGTAATATTTCAAAAATAACGGCATGACTAGACATGCTTTGGATAAATAAACAAGCCCATTCTTGCCATTAAGATTTGGTTTTTATTGTAGTATAGAACTTCACCTTTTTCTTTTTGCCGGCGACCCCCTGATCAATTCTTCGCGACTTACAGATTGAAAAATACTGATCTAGAATCTAGATCTCATAATCTACGGCTTTAGACTTGTGCTTTAACATAAGAATATAAGTTGATCTGTCTACCACACATATATAAAACAATCGGTCATAATTATGAAAAAAAAATCAAAGACTGATACTTTAAGAATGGTTCAGTTTGACAGATGGGTTCCCCTCGTCAACTCTCAGTAATGATATAACCTACCAAATGTTAAGGGTTTAGGTCGATTTAACTTGTAACCCTGTGTATATACATATATACCTAGTGACGCCATCTATCCCTACTAATATTATAAATGCGAAAGTGTCTGTCTGTCTGTCTGTTACGCTTTCACGCCTAAACCACTGAACTGATTTTAATGAAATTTGGTACAGAGATAGAGTTGACCTTGAGAAAGAACATAGGATAATTTTTAATCCCAGACTTTAGAAAAGTTCTCTTGGAAACGCGATATAACCGAACTCCACGCTGGCGAAGCTGTTGGCAGAAAGCTAGATAGCAAATATAGATTTTATTCTCTTTCTTAGACATCAAGTATGTTGTCCAAGTACCAACTGGTGTTAAGTGGTGCTGGAGTACCATTCTTACTCTCACCTGAACAGAACCAGTTTTAATAAACACTAAACTTTATTTTAAGATTCAAGTACTATTTTTTTTATATATTGTGCTGTTTTTATTATTGTAGGGCTGCCTTCGACACATGTTCTAAGAATGAATTGATATTAGTTCTGGACAGACCCAAGTCTTTTAGTAGGTTGTAGAGAGATTTAGTTATACCTCTCGCTCCTACTTCTACTTAATACAAACATTAAAAAACAGATCAAGGCGTAGTAATATTTAATAAATATAAGAAATAAATGAAACAAATAATATGGATTACACATGATTATAATAATAAACATACATTCATGAAAAAGACATTAAATACTGAACGTGATACATAAAACACACTGAGGGGAATGTTTGTGTGTTGACTTATATAGAGCAACTAGTGTTACAGAGTCTGACGTCAGAGCTCATTATATGTTGGTTGATTACTACATTTTCCTTAATTATTATTCGTCGATGTTTGACCCATTTAATATATTCTAAGGGTGGTGCGCGGCGGGCGGCGGGAAGCACCTCACATGTTCGACCCCCGACCGTTCGTCGTCCGCCGCTAGATGTCGCGACAGTACGCTGAAGATCTGTGAGTTCAACACTTGGAAGCGACGGATGCGGTCCACCATGCGCTTGAGGGGCTGCGACATAATAATAATATTCATTTGCTCTGAATGTAGGTACAGAATATACGTGTACAATAGATTTTAGTATAAGTTCCAGGTACATTCTACCATGAGGCATGCAAATATTAGGTTTAAATTATAAATTAAAATTAACTATTCAATTAAAATTAGAATTTAACATACAGAACGACATGTAGCGATATATGACTCAATACAATATAGTTCGTTAGACTTAAGCTGAGCTTTGCATTTGTGTTAACGTAAAAATAGAGTTAGACAAAAAAAATTTAGAATTAAATTTTATTATAATTTAAATATATAAATAACATAAGTGCGAGATCTATTCTAGATTAAAAATAAAATAAGCAAAACTTGTAAAGGCCAGATGGAAATGTTATGGAAAAAAATTACCAAATAATAATTTTTTTGAAAATAATTACAAATTCTTCACTAATGACACATCGTTTTCAACATTTGATTTTGCTACCAGTACAAAGGGTGAAGTGAGAAAGGTGCGAGGCGGAGTAAAAGCAGTACAAACCGGTTCAAAACTAGAAAAGTACGTGGGATTCAAAAATTTGACATCACACCTACACTGTCCATGTACACTCACACAAATGCAAAGCTCAGCTTAAATCAAACGCGCTATATTAGAATACTAATGTTATCTTGTATGTGTGTCTGTGTGTATGTGTGTGTGCATATGTCCGTGTGTGGGTGTATCTCTCTCTGTATATGTCCGTGTCTGTGTGTCTGTGTGTGTGTCTGTACTATATACTCACGATCCCCTTAACCAGCTCGTCCTTGCCGTCGACCCTCTGCACCCTCAGTATGTGGTAACAGAAGTCGAGCGCCTCGAACCGTCTCTGCTGCCCCAGTAACGCTATGATAGTACAGCCGGCCCAGTGTAGCCCCTCACCGAACAGCTCCTCCACCGTGAACTGAGTGTCACCCACTGGGATGCAGTATAGGAACTGGAGCGCTGACCACAACCTAAAGGAAACGAGATATATCTTTATACATATATATAATTCTTCTGTGAGTGTGTATGTCACTGAACTTCTCTCAAACCACTGGACCGATTTTGATGAATTTTTTTTTGTGCATTCAAGGGGATCTCTGAATTGTTTAGATTCACAATTTTATCCGCTGGACAATGTTTTTTTTTAATTAATTTTTAATTTATTAGTAGTTGTTGATAAAAACTTTTTTTGGACATTACATTTGACAACTAATATGGCAATCATTCTGTCGCACTTCAAAACACGAAGATTTATGGCTTTAATAGGTAAACTCCATAAATATAAATAAAAAAACGTAACAGATATTTCTTGATTATAGGGCGATACGAAGTTCGCTGGGTCTTTTTGTATGTATGTATGTATCTGTGTGTATGTACCTGTGGAACTCCGCGGTGTCGTCCGTGTGTATGTAGGTGTGTTGTGAGGGCGGCGGCGCGGGCCAGGCGGGCGCCGCGAGCACCGCCTTCAGTCTCCGGAGCACCACCGAGAACAGCGACAGGCCGCAGCAGAGACGCTCGCGGGTCAACAGGTCGCCCTCGCGAGATAACTGACTTTGCTACACAGAAACAATATATTATATAATGAGATATAAGATAGTCGTGAGTATTCATTTAAATGAAACTTATGTTTCTTCGGATATATTTTTGTAGAAAACTACATCTCGTATTAATGATCACGGTTGATGAAAAGTAACCGAAACATCGAGAGTATGTAGTTTTTATCAAAAATAACGTCGCGTAGTATATCCGAAAAATATTAGTTTCATTTACATTTATTAAATTTTTTCATGTTAAAGATGGCAAAGGAGCAGACGGTCTACCTGACGGAGGTAATACCGACGCCCATAGATATACGTAACATAGATTTGAGAATGTATTGCAACAACTCTTGATTGAGGAAAAGGTGGCAAAGAGAAAGGGTGACCGTCTCTCTCACTCATCATACGAAACGCATCCATTAAAGTTTACTTCACGTCGATCTTCTGTGAGAGCGTGGTACTTACGGTCGAGACAGACCATGTTCGAGCTGTAGAAATTTGACCACAGATAGGATCTACCACCTAACAATCATTCCACCCCTAATACTGCTAATCTATAGTTCCACATCTATCATCTATAGTCCAACCTTAGCCGTTCCGTATTTCTCCACGTTCTGTACTATCTGTAGCGAGGCGTACTTCGCTTCCAGTCGCTTCTGTTTCGTCTCCGGCTTCTCTCCCTCTGTGGAACATTAACGATATCATTAATGACTTATTGTTTTAATACACTAATACACCAGAGGTCGTTAGTTTCAACCCGGTATGTGTGTGTTATATATATGTACCTGCTGTAAATGGTCTGGGCAGTATGTTCTGGAAGGGCGCGGCGTGCAGAAGGTCCGTCACCTCCTCCTGACTCAACGCCTGGAACAAACAAACAGACACACACTATACATGACCGGATGTATATACATAGAGATGATTAGAGATTTATAGGGTCGATAGAAATGATAGTAGACTTCTTTTGATAGAAACGGCAGATGTAGATATATTTATTTATTTATTTATTTATTTTATAGGATCACCAACAGAAATGACAATAGTATCAAAAATATTATATAGTAAACAATTGATCACACTTGATAATTTTAATATGTAGTAACAGATATACTACTAGCAAAATAATGTACATAAATACTTTGAAGGACATCTATTGTTATATATGCTATAGTACAAGTTACAGTAACTACTGTGGACGACGAGTGTTCACTGTATATGTGTGTGTGTGTGTGTGTGTGTGTGTGTGTACCTGTTCTATGAGCATACAGAACAGTATAATGTTCCCGAGCTCCCTGAACGAGTGGAACAGCTCCGTCCTCGCGTCCGGGTACTGCACGATATCCGTCAACTGAGCGTGGTAGTAACCTAACACACCTGAAATATAAAGTTAATATTATAAGTCCATGTTTCCTCACGATGTTTTCCTTCATCAGTCAGTGATGTCTAAATACTCTTATAAAGTACATATGACTCGGAAACATTACATTGGTATTTGCCAGGATCGAACCCGCGCCTCGTGCATGAGAGGCGGGTCTTTAACTTCTAGGCCACTTCTTTTCACGTATCACTGAATTTGTATTTAACAGCGCCATCTAACACCGAGTAGCGGAGTAATTCAATATATACAATCTTTGAATGTCATAAACTTGTTAGATCTGTTCCGAGTAACATCTTTACTACGAGCGCGCATCGTCACACCGAACTCGAACACTCGATAGTATTCATCGAGTTTAATGTATGAAGCACGTCAGTCTGTCCGTGTGTGTGTGTGTGTGTGTGTTGCGGACTCGTAGTAAGGGTCTTTTTGTATGTATGTATGTATGTATTAATCTTTTCATTGTTTATTTAAATTTTTATTTTATTTTGTAAATTTACCTTTTTTTAAATTTTTGCTTTTGTTTTTACTGCGGCTTGCGCTGGGAGGTCTAATTTAGATTGAAATTAAGCATGATGTATCTACCTATAAATGTTTGTCACACCTAGTTTTAAGTTATGTGCATTGTATATTTTGCTTACGTATGTGATGATGTGAACAAATGTCGGTGGATCAAGTAAATAAATAAATGTTTGTATGCTTACCGTTTGATCCGTAGTCGTATCTGGGCAGCTTGCAGTGCCTCGGCATGGCTGCGGCGAGCGCGCGCGTGAACTGCGCGAGGTTCCCGTGCAGCAACATGCGAGCCACACCGAGCAGCTCCGACACCACTACCGACACGCCCTGGTAGCCGAGCAGCCGGACGAGCGCGTGCAGGTGCTGCGGACCCACGAACCCTGGGGGGAGAGGGACGGAGATATATAGACGAGCAGGGAGAGAGAGGGAGATATACAGATTACCGGGGAGAGAGAGAACGAAAGATATTGTTCAAAGTAATTTCGATGGGTCCTATGTATAAGGGCCAATGTAGCAATTTTCATTTTTTTCTATATATACTTCAAAATACTTGTATTCTACAATATTTTGAAATACTTTTTGATATAAAGTTTTACATACATTATTTAAAAAAACTATTAGGTTTACAAAGTTTATCAATCTTAAATGTCGTACATGTATGTCATAGTTGCTATACAAAGTATCAAAAGCAAGTTGTATGTACAAGATACATTGAAGTTGAGCTTACAACGTCTCTACTGAACAATTAATTATCATTTGCACATTATTTGCATATATCAATCATCATTTGCATATATCAATATTTAAGGAAGATACTCGGTACATGATTTTCATTCGAATTATGTAAAAAAAAATAGGTACTTAATTTTTGACAAAATTTCCGTATAAATAAATAAAGTGTTGACACGTTCCAAGTGTTCCAAGTGTGAACGCGTTTGGCGGCGTGCTGATACAACACTACGCCGCCAAACGCGCATGTGTGAGTGTGTGTATACCTAATCTGTAGGGTGTTCACACGATGCGTAATTAATTACATAACTTTTGGTTAACTTTACTTAGAAGTTTAAATAAAAGTGGTGTGAGGTCACCAGTTAATATAAATCAGAACTAGATAGCATTGTCATCGATATAGATCACACTAATTATTGTATGAAACGATTTAGTTAGAGTCCTTCATTTTATATAATAACTATACTCCGGTCAAATTCTATGTGGAATGTTTAATAACAAAGTGTTGCTTAGCAACCAACGTCAGGCAGATGCTCAAAACATTTTTAGAAATATGTACAACAATTATTTTTGATTTTAATGAAAATTAAAATTGATGATTAATAATAAAACATTTAAGGACTAAGGAACAAAGGACTAGGCGCATTCTTGTCTATAATTATAATACTTGTGATCATCTGGAATAATGTAGATCTCAAAAATAATACCTTCAATTTTATCAGAAATTACCTCGTAGTTATATAATTCGCTTCATTAACTTTATCCATCGCCTCCCAAACGACAGGACTCATTTAGGGTAAATTTTGTGTATATTTGAATTTCGCTACAGATACAATCCCACTCGGACCAGGTTATTCAGTATTACTCATCGTAATCTAATATAAACAATATCTAATATGATAACAACAAACTTATAACAATAAGGAATTAAAACAAAATAACGATAACAAAATCTAACAATTAATAACAGAACGGAAGAACACCAGAATCAAACACTCGCGAATTGTAAGCAAAGCTAACAACAAAACAGAACAAACATTATGGCGGGCGTATAATGCAACAAAATTACGTAGTTACGTTGCGTTTAACTTTATTTGCATAAAAAAAATATTTTTTAAATTAATTAAAATGTAACCGCAATAAAATTTATTAATTTTTATCTGATGAATATATATATATTGGAAGAAATTGTAAATATGTATATGTGGTTGAAACAGTGATTATAGTGCTATATTATTATGCTAGTGATATTATAGTGATTATTATGCTAGCCAAATCAAGATGTCTTTTTTTTAATCTGTGTGTAATGTTAACATTCTTAACCTGTTGTGGTTATACTACCATTATAATACGACTAAAAATATACACCACCAATTACGAAGAGCCTGTATCGCTATTATATACCTTCCTAAATCTGAAAATTGCTTAATAAACACTCCAAATGTTACAAACCTGCGATTTCTTTACGTCAGTATTAAAATATACGGTTGTTAGTTTTGTAGTAATATTATAGTGGTAATTAAAGATTTTTAAACTTTTATTTTAAGCTAATTTTCATATAAATTATGTATTGACCGGCTAAATAAAATTTTTGGATTCTATATTAAATTGATTTTTTTGTGTTGAAACAGGAAATTGTGTTATGATGAATATAGTTGTAATTATAATAATAATTATTTTTTATTAAGAGTGTATCAACCCTAATTATGATGACTCATCGTTTGTTTACTAAAATTCCAGATCGAATCTGGCTGGAGTATAGTTGGTCTCAAATATATTTATTGGCTAGATCAGTACATGATGTGGTTATATTTATATATAACTTTCTCACTATACATAAGTGCATTCAGAAGTGAATAGTGTGAAACTGTACGGGATCTTAGTCGCTCATACACTTAATAAAATGATATAAATTGATAATGCTCCTTAGTTTGATTATTGTGATATAATATTATAATATATGATTGATTGATTGTTGAGAACGCCCGGTATATTTGGTGACTGAATGAAAACTGTATTATATTATAAGTTATCAAGATTTTATAACAGAACAAACATGATGATGTGTATTTACATGATTTCGTAATTATGTCGAGCGTAGCTCGTACAGAAACATATATATATTTAGGGAACACATTTTTTATTCAAACCGAACCTTATTCCCGAACGCATCTCAAGTGATGTTAAAACTATGACGCTTGGCTTGTTCTCTTTTAACGCGGGAAAGTATATTGTGACCACGACTTGTGTTATTGTAAATAGAATTTAACTCATTTAAGGTTTTTTGGTTTAAGATAATAATTAGTTTGTTTTAATTAAGGTTTTATTGTTATTTAAAAGTACTGGCTTTATAAGAAAACTATATTTTTATGGGGAAAATCTCTTCAAAATTCGTTCAGTATAATATCAATGTCATTCCTTCATATATCTCTAATCACTTCACATGACCCCTTGTCTGTAGCTCGTGTTATATAAAGTGTAGTTCTAACCGTTGTACTGCGCGTACTGTGCGGAGTAAGCCAGACTGAGCTGCTTGGAGCCCCACAGCACCGCGTGACCGAACTGCTGCGGCTTCTCACGGACCACGGGCGCCGCGAACTGGATGCCGCGACACTTGACGAACCTGAGGACATACACACAGATATATATACATACTAGCTTTCCGCCCGCAGCTTCGCTCGCGTGGAGTTCGGTTATATTGCGTTTCCAAGAGAACCTTTCAAAAGTCTGGAATAAAAACTATCCTATGTTCTTTCTCAGGTCAACTCAATGTCTGTACCAAATTTCATTAAAATCAGTTCAGTGGTTTAGACGTGAAAGCGTAACAGATAAACAGACAGAATTACTTTCGCATTTAAAAAGTAGCCTATGTGTTATCCCTGGACGTCAGCTTCTTGTATACAAAATTTTATCAAAATGAATTCAGCCGTTTGAGCGTGAAGAAGTAACAAACACACACACAAACAAACTTTTGCAATTATAATATTAGTAGGATTAGATAATGTATATTCTATAGAAAGTTTCATTACAATCGTTCCAGGTGTATATATGTATATATACATACCTATCAGTAGCGGCGTTGTAGCAGTAATTAGGCAGGAAATCATAGTTGAGTTCCCAGAACACGTGTAGCGTGATGCGGCCGTACGGAGCTAACACACCGTGATCTGATTCACGTAAGATCGCGTCGAACTCATCGAGCGTGAGGTAGCGGGACAGGAGCTTGTGGCACAGACGGTTGACGGCGATTAGACCCTCCAGCTCCTGAGACAGAGAGAGTGAGACAGAGAATACGACACACACAGAGAGAGAGAGAGATAGTAGGAGACAGACCACGACACCGGTGATGTCTCCAGCCTCGAACTTGGCGACGGCCGCGTCTAACGCGCGGTGCATATCCGCGTTGATCCTCTGCGCCACCTACACACACACACACACATACAATACGAGTCAATAATAATAATATCTATTTGCTCTGAATATAGGTGTATAAATAGATTTTAGTATAAGTTCCAGGTACATTCTAATATTAGGCATGCAATGAGTCAATGAAGTGTCATATAATTGTAGATATGTTCCTCACCAACGCGCACAGGTCTACATGTCGTCCCAGTAACGCCACGTGTCTCTGCCTCAGTAAGGACGCGTATCTGCCCGCGCCCCCCGCCGAGGGCGAAGCACCCGCGCCTCTAGACGCGCATTCGGCGCGGTACCTCGCATCTAATAGCATGCTGGCGGCCAACTGCTTGTAGTGCGAGTACACCAGTTCGGACAGCTTGTACACAAACTGGTCGAAACACAGGTTGACCTCCGCCTCAACCTCGTCGTATAGGAACTGCTTCTTGAACACCGTCAGCGCGTACTGGGCGGAATCGTTGTATAAATCCAGCGGGTATAACACGTACCTGGAAAACATACGGCGCGTGATTTATACTACACATAGAGTACTTGTTTATATAATATATGAGACAAATATATGTATATACAACGTGTAACGTAATTAACGCACAGCCTCAAATACCCCAATGCGAATATAATAATATAAACGCAATGCATACACCAAATATTATTTATATGTGCGTTTGCATTTTTTATTTGTGAAATTAGTTATCCCAATTTCGTGCAAATAATATGGTCAGCTATTCAGCGACACTCTGTACTCGCCGCGCCCGCGCCCCTCTCTCCGAGTGCCGTCCGACAATAATAAGAAGTAGGTAATAATAAGTACACAAAATAACTACATTATGATTTATGATTCTTCTTTTCATCACACTTTTCAAGCTTTAGATTGTTGACATTGAATTTTCTTTTTAATGTGAAGGCAATATTTTATAATTACTGATTTGTTAAATTAAATTTGTAAATAAGAATTATTAAACAGCTGATAACGCGTGATTTGATTAGACACCACAATACCTACGACAAAGTTAAACACAGTCGGCCTGTTTAAATAGTGTGTATCAAAATATTTACAATAATTTAAAGATCATAAACAAACTTACAGTTTAATTTGCACTCGCACGGCGTTGTCGTTTTAAAACATTTTCAAAATGTCCACCGCCTTGTTTAATGCACTTTAATGACCGTTTTCGCAATTGTGGTTTTATTTTAGATAATACTGCAGTGTCACTTTTCACTTTTACAAAGGCGGTTATTATCTTATTTTTTACTTCCTCGGCACTTGTTATCTCTGTGTTATAAACTAGCGATTTAATTCGCCCTCACAAAAAAAAAGTCGAGTCGCGTCAAATCAGCTGATCTAGGAGGTCAATGGACACGTGCGTAGGTACTTGATGTATTGAATGTTAGTGTACCGAAACGACACAGCGAAATGCGCGACTAAGATTTTATTTGCACTTTACACTTGACCTCTTTTCGATAAGGTGGACGCGGCGTGACTAACTTACCCAAAACACATTTTGTTGACTTTGATGTTTAGTTATTATTACTCTGATTCCCGGAATTAGCCTGCCGTCTCGCTCTATTGTAATGTTATTAAGCCAAAGAAAGAAGGAGAAAGTAATAATTTTTGTATTACGCGGCTTTCTTTTATGCACTGTAGTGACCTTGCTGTGTGCCGGTTGTCGCTATGGTGTTGCGTGCGTAGTTATTTTTAAATACTATTTTAGCCTTGAAATAAGTATCAGTTTTCTTTAATTGAATGATGATTACTAATTTAATATTTCATTTTAAAAATCTTAATACCCTGACTTACGATCCATTTTCATTTCCATTAATTTTCGTTCCTATGAAGTGTTTAGATAACTGTGTGTAGGGTGACTATAAAATACTTAGTTCTATCTAAATTTGAGAAAAAAAATGACCTACATAAAAACTATCAAAATCGATCCAGTATCCGATTCTGATCAAACTACTTTCAGGGTGTGCGTTAATTATGTTACACGTTGTATATATAAACCCCGCTGAGTCTTTCGCCGGTTCTTCTCCGGTCAGGGTATTTTGTTGTCCGAACCGGTGGTAGTGTCTCAAGTGACCATCAATAAGAAAGTGTAATGCTTCTATATTGAATAAAGTTATTTGAGTTGATTACAAGACTCTGTGAGTGTGTGTATATGTGTGTTATTAGAACTAGTATGAACCAAACAATATATATGTCTTAGTTGTCTAAATAGCTCGCTAGGGGCGCCACTGTCTATACCGCAAACGTCACTCTGGTTGTATTAAGTATACTCTCGTATCAACTGTTTGAACTGTATGTTAATAAATCTCAGTTTATTTAATCCATTCTTATTTTCGCTCAATTCCATCATGTATGCGTGTGTATATGTATATGTGTGTATATGTATGTGTGTGTATGTGTGTGTGTGTGTGTGTGTGTGTATACATACTCCATCATCGAGGGGTCCTTGCTCCTCAGTATGTGCTCGGTAAGTATCCAAGGCATGGACATCTCTATGGGGAACTGGATCCTCTTCTCCATGGTGATGAGGTCGTTACACTCCTCGTTGTGTTGGTGACGGACCGTACACTTCTGCACACGGGACACACACACACATGTTAACACTCGTCATACAATAATATATATGTACATAGTGTGACGTTGTATTACTCACGTTAACCTTCCTACCCATGGTCATTTCCAGGTAGAACTCTCTGTACCACAGCTGGGACAGGTCGCAGCACTTGGCCAGACTGTCTGTATATATGAGGAACAAACAAACAGTCACACATATACTATATAAATTTATAGATGCAAGTAGTTCTAGAATCTATTAAATGTTCCAGGTGTAAAAAGGCGTATTATTAATTTTGACTACAAATTAGAGGGTATAAGGGGGTTTCAGTCTTTAAAGATCTTGGTGTCTATTTGGATTCCAAACTACTTTTTGATGATCATATTACTCATATTACATCCAAAGCTTACAGACTACTAGGGTTCGTGTTGAGGGAATTATTTATTATCCAGGGAATTTAGGCATACGTCAACCCTTATGCTTTTATATAAATCACTAGTTACTTTACTTGAATATGACTCAGTTGTTTGGAATCCTCAATACGAAACTTATATAGAAAAAATAAATAAAATCCATTATTTATTTAAAGAACACTTAAAACGTAGAACCTCTGGTAATAATATAACTATGAAGCGACTGCCACTGCCTTGTAATAGAAGGATCGAAAGAGATCAAATATTTTTATACTTGTTATAAGATACTGAACAATGGAATCGACCCCAGTTACTTTCTCTCTAGATTGAATCTTAACTGTGCTAGATTAAATTCTCGAAGTAAACCTATTTTTAATATACCGTATACCCGCAGCAAATTTGCAGGAAAAGCTTTTATTATTAGAAGTGCTAAACAACATAACAAGATGTTCTTTAAATTAGATATGTTTCATCTCTCTCCGTCAATTTAAATCTGCTGTAAAATATTTATTGAATGAATCTGAATGATATTTAACACAACTATATATTGTAATAATTTTGAATTTAAAGTTTTAATTTTAATATTTATATGTATAATAATTTAATTATTTGTTAATGTATAATATTTTATAATAGTAATCATTGATATGCTTTCTACACTCTGAAAGTTTTTTATGTATAATTTGTCATAGGAAACTGTTATGGTTTAAGGTTTAATTATGTACAACATTTATAATTATTGATAGTACAGTAATACCCCGCTTAACGCGACCCCGTTATACGCGGTTTCACTTTAACACGAATTTCAAAAAATTTATTCAGATTTGGACATATTGCAGAGTATAGATAATAATGATGACCGCGCTTTGACCGTGTGTCAAACGATTAAAAACAGTGTTGGGTGTTATGAACTTATTTTACAAGAACGTAAACAAAACGCTACCCAAAAGACAATACATGTATTTTTTCGTAAAAAAATAGGAGTACCTATGTATTATATAGTGTTCTTAGAATTAAAGTGATTGATTAAAATGATTTTTATATTCGTGTATTAAATTTTGATTGTGTTTAATCATAAACCTCGATATACGCGAATTTCAGTTAACGCGATTTTCTTCGGAACGTATCCCTCGCGTTAAGCGGGGTATTACTGTACTGTTTGTTACCAAAATATAAATAAATAAGTACACTGACCGGCCAGGTTGAGCAGGTACGTCCAGTAGAAGCTCTGCCTGTGGAAGGTCTCTATCTGCTGCAAGATGCCCGCGTCCAGGTCTTTACGCAGAGTTCTGCGCCCGCCGCTCTTGTCGCTGATGAGAGCCTCAAGTTGTGTGCGGACCATGTACAGCTGGGTTGATGACGGACCTGCGAGAGTTGATGAAGGGACAGTATAGGGACTACTGTGTAGTATAGACAAGTGTGTGTGTGTGTGTGAACGTCGGGAGTATGTAGTTTATATGTAATTAAAAATAAAGTCGCGTAGTATATCCGAAAAGATATTAGTTTCATTTAAATGCATTTTACATTTATGTTTCTAGGTGTGTGTGTGCGTATTTTTTGTTCCCATACAATGTGTGTCTGAAGTATCAGGAGTTCATGATGCATAGAAAGTTACACGGAAATGTAAAGAGATCGAAAGATATCATGCGTGTGAGAGTTTCATAACATAATATTATACACGAGATGTGTCTGTGTGTGTGTGTGTGTGTGTCTGTGTGAGTGTGTGTGTGTGTGTGTATCACTGACCCACGTTCCTCCGCGGCACCTTGATGGTGAAGCTGTTCTCGGAGTCCTTCTTCCCTCTCAGCGCGGGGTCCTGCTGCGGCTCACAGCCCCGCGCCCAGTCGCCGCACGTCTCCCTCACCGACACTATGATACTGTGAACATGACGCACGTTATATATACTTCCCCCCCTCTTCATACCACCTCCTTCCCCCTCTCACCTCCGGATGAGGTCCTTCTTGTTCTTGATGGCCTTCCTGAGCGGCTCCCTCAGCGCCAGCGTCACGAAGTCCTGTAGTTCAGCGTAGATGGCCCTCCTCGCTGCGTCCGCGAACACCGTCTCCATGCGCGCCATCAACACCTGCAGCCCCTTGATCATGGCCACCACCTCGATCACCGCGAACTTCTCCTCCGACGTATAGTTGTACCTGGTGGCCTGTGGTACGTTCCGCTTCATACACTGCTTCAAATACTATGTGTGTGTGTATGTGTGTTCCCCTCACCCGCTCATACTCCTCGGCGTCGGGCGGGCAGCGCGGGTTGGTGGCGTGGTCTGTGGGGTGCAGCAGCTTCCAGGAGCACAGCTCGGTGAGCACGGAGCACCAGGAGGAGAGCAGCTGCAGGCCCCGCAGACACAGGTCGCTCACGGCGCGGTTCTCAGCGTCTGAGGGGGCCTCCTTGAAGGTGGTGGTGACCTCGTTACTGTAGCGAGCCAGCTCCGAGATGTAGTCCTGGTGCTCGTCGCGGATCTGCGGCAGGTGGACCATCAGGTCGGCCTGCGGGGACGGCGGGCTGGGGCTCGACGACAGCGGCCACCTGCACGCACACACACACACAAAGTGTAATAAATATAGTCAATGTCATCAGCCTATCAGAAGCCCACTTTTGAGCAAGGCCTCTTTCTCACATGGAGAAACTTTGAGCATTAATTACCACGCTCGCCCAAGACGGGTTGGTGATATCAAATTTATAATTGTGAAACTATAAGTCCAGGTTTCCTCACGATGTTTTCCTTCACCGTATGTCAGTGGTGTCTAAATACTCTCAGAAAGTACATATGACTACGAAAAATCACATAAATATAGTGTGTACGCTATATTATAGAATTAAGTCTAGTGTAAAGTCGCCTTTATAAAACATCTCATGTATACATCCAAATATGGTGGACCACCCATTGGCCCGAGCTTTCATTATGCTTTGTTAAAATCTTCTATTATTAAATACGACTTAAAGCTACAAAGATGTTTCTTTTCAAACCCAGTAATTAACCATATTAGACACACACATACAAGGTATAGACCGTGTATGTATATACTATATGTATGTATGTTGTTAGCGAGGGAAAAGACTCACTTGCTGGGGTCGTAATGCTTGGAACGCTTGATATAATTGAACGGAGCTATCTGCATATCACCGAATAGAGGTACCACCTCCAGGTTCTGTAAGTTAATGAAGTACATTAGACACATACATACGTACAAGGTTACAGTTGTATCAGTTATAGTACATTGGATGAAAACTTATATGGAAATATGTTGGCGGAAATTACCGAACAAACTCTTTTAAAGAAAAACGTAATACTGTCTGGTGTTCCGGAACCATAATCGAGTGATTCTAAAGAACGACAAACACATGATAAATAAGAGGTATTAAAAACTTTTAAAACATTACTGAAGGACTGCCCTGTACCTACCAAAGTTATAAGAATCGAAAAATACAATCCAAACAATATTCGTGCTATTAAAGTACACTTCGAATTACAACAATCGGCCAAGTTAATACTTCGAAACAGATACAAGTTGAAGAACTATCAAATAAAGATCTTCCCGGATCAAACACCTTTTCAGCAAGCGCAATTCAAAAATGTTAAAAATGAATTACACCGTCGGAGTGCAATTGGTGAGAATAATCTATTAACTAAGTATGTATATCAAAGGCACACCTAAAATTATCATTACTTACAGAGAAAATATATAAGGAAGCAAAATTGATGAATATAAAAAATACATATTAATATTATACATGCATAAAAAACATAAAATATACAAATACATTCATAACAGCGGAGAAATAATGAATAAATAAAGTAACTATCATTGAAAAATAAAACAAGAATAAAAATCTAGTTGTAATTTGTCTGCGAACATTTTGTAGTGATGAATGTTGAAACTAGGTCCACTTATTGATTTATTTTTTGTTATATTACATACCTAGTTGTAAAATATATTTTTTTATTTTGTATAATAAGATTTAAGAACCTTGTTTAAACATTTATGTTAACAGTTTTGTAAATTAGTTTTAAGTGAATATGTAGTATTGTTTACGAAACAATAAATATTTTAAACCATAGTAATTATCTAATACCTTAAATATCCTATCTATCCGGTCGAGCCTGATCTTCTTCTTCTGGTCCAGCCGGTTGATGTTACACACCTCGGAGTCCATTAAGAATAGACCGAAGCCCATTACCTGGAACGATACCACATATATATATATATGTATATATATAATTCTTCTGTAAGTGTGTATGTCACTGAACTTCTCTCAAACGACTGGAACGATTTTGATAAAATTTTTTGTGTGTATTCAAGGGGATCTGGGAATGGTTTAGATTCACAATTTTGTCCGCTGGACAATGTTTTTTTAATTTATTAGTAGTTGATGATACAAACGTTTTTTTGTTTTTGGCATTAGATTTGAGAACTAACTAATATGTCAATCATTCTGTCGCACTTCAAAACACGGAGATTTATGGCTTTAATAGGTAAACTCTAACAATATAAATAAAAAACATAACAGATATTTCTTGATTATAGAGCGATACGAAGTTCGCCGGGTCTTCTAGTATATATTAATGACCCGTACACCACGTGACCCGTATTATATATCGACCACGTGACTCACCTTCACCAGCATGTGTTTCTCTGAAGGCGTCAGGTACATCTTGGTCTCGAACATGTGCACGCAGATGTTGACCACGTCACACAACAGCTCCTCGTACCCTGGAACACACATGAGTCATGGTTAGGGCCCGGAGTAATATGTAAATACATATTTATAATTTACGCGATTTTCGGTGTGTTTTTTACATTTGTTGTCATATTTAGACTGAAAAACCAACTTTTATTTACCATATTTCAAAGTTAAGTCCATATTTTACAAGAATATGTCACAATCATTCATATATTCATAAAAATACATAAAATTTACGTTCCCATCACTAATGTATTGGATAAAAATAAAGGATTAAATACGCTAAAAAAAATTAACAAAATTATGTGCAAAAGTTTCGAGGGCTGTGGACATGGCTTACATAATTACCGAATTAAGCATGTTTAAGTATGCATCCATCACGTCATGTGACGTGGAGAGATCATTCAGCAGATATAAGGCTATATTTCGACCAAATGGTCAGTTTTCATTTTGATAATTTAAAGAAGCACGTCATTGTGTATTGCAACCAATTTGATAAGCCTAGTGTAATGGAAGTTGAATAAAACTGTTATTTTTTGTTGAAATAAATATTTCGCTATTTTTTTCATCGTTTCTCAAATGTAACTTAACGATGTACGTCACGAGTAACCCTTTTCTTATAGTAAAACAATGTTTAATTATGAAAGTATTTTATTTTATACTCCATATTTTTAATTTTTTCGTCCTTATTTTATGTACATATTTTAGATTTTTTAATACATATTTATCCGGGCCCTAGTCATGGTTATACCGAGTGTTACCGAATGTTACTGTGTGTTGCCGTGTGATACCGCGTGTAATTTTTATTTTATTATTATTATTTAATTACCATACATTTAATTTTACTGTTTTATATCTTTTATATATATGTTCACTTCCAGATTAATTATTTGTGGAGACTGTATTATCATGTGGGTTATTTAAGGTTTATAAGTTATATCTATACTAATATTATAAAGCTGAAGAGTTTGTTTGTTTGTTTGTTTGAAAGCGCTAATCTCCGAAACTACTGGTTCGAATTGAATAATTCTTTTTGTGTTGGATAGTCCAGTTATCGAGGAAGGCTGTGGGCTATATAACATCACGCTAGGACAAATAGGAGCAAAGATATAGTGGTAAATGTGTAAAAAACGGGAGAAATTATTTCATCTTTGAAGCCTTCCGTTGCGTGCGCCGTGAAAACGGTTCAAGATACACAAAAAATATGTATTAAAGAATAATAGCTCTTTTAATGATCTAAAAAACAGTCCGCGACAGTATATGTGTATCTTTTAAGATTAACTCACAAAAACCGTTTTAGTGGTACCTAATTTTGTCGAAATAATTTGTTTAAGTTGTATCAAAATAATAATATTAATCTTTATTCATATAAACAAATAAATATGTTGTTGGTTAAGAGTACTTCATTATTAATAAAAAAAAAACATATGTTTCATCCTGAAAATTCTACGGGAACTCGACCATTCATAAAACCCCGCAAGAACGGGAACTATGTGGGAAGAACCAAAAATCTGCCGGAAGTCACTATTCCACGCGGACGAAGTCGCGGCAAAGGCTAGTGTAATATAAAATATGCTGTTTGTTTCACTTACTTACAAGTAAATAAATAAATAAATCACTATACCGTACCAGTGATCTTCTCGAGCGCGTCCTTGACCGTGTCCCGTATCTTGTTCTGAGTGGCGAGGAACATGGACAGATTCTGGGACTCCTGCAGACTCTGGCTGTCGGACATCACCTTCAGGAACTGAGCGGCGCTGGAGGGGGGAGGGGGGGACGTTATATATATATGAACTCACTGAACATACACACAGACAGACGAGAATTCTTGAAGTATCTTTATATATATTATTCTTCTGTGAGTGTGTATGTCACTGAACTTCTCTCAAACGACCGGACCGATTTTGATGAAATTTTTTGTGTGTTCAAGTGGATCTGGGAATGGTTTAGATTCACAATTTTGTCCGGTGGACCATGTTTTTTTAATTTATTAGTACTTGTTGATACAAACTTTTTTTTTGACATTAGATTTGACAACTAACTACTATGTCAATCATTCTGTCGTACTTCAAAACACAGAGATTTATGGCTTTAATAGGTAAACTCCAAAAATATGAATAAAAAAACGTAACAGATATTTCTTGATTATAGGGCGATACGAAGTTCGCCGGGTCTTCTAGTATTATTATATGAGAGTCACAAACCGTCTGTATGTAGAGTAGTCGTTCTTAACGGAACTCTTCATGTTCTTGAGCTCGTCAAGCACCGCGAACATGTTCACGAACTTGCCGAGCGTGAGGAGGTACGCCTCGGATACGAAGTCGCGCCGCTTCTCAGCGTGACACAGGCGACGGACCTCGCCGCAGAAACGCTCTATGGCCTTGCGCTGAAACACACACACAGACACGTTATACACAGACACACACATACACGAGCTATCGTGAAATACGAGAGACAAAAACACAGTATTGTTCTGATTGAACATACAGTAGAAACTCGATTATCCGGCCCTCAGTTATACGGATTCGCGATTATCCGGACTATGGACGAGTCTGGATAAGAAACAATATCAAAGCGTAGAAGAGTGGTGTTGTTGAGAGTGGCGTACGTCAAATGACAATTAACAAATATTCTAAACCAAATTTTACTTATTATTGTAATTCATGATTACTAAATACATATTGTAATTTATTTGCACAATTATGCACAAAACCGTCTTTTCGTCATAGATTCGATTATCCGGATTTTCGATTATCCGAATGCCAATCGACAACAATTAGTCCGGTTAATAGTTTCTACTATACTTTGAAACATTCAACATTAAATAATAAGCTGTATAACTCTTTGCCTCTAAGTGTTGTAAATTCAAAATCTCTAAATATATTTAAGAAAACGATTAAGAACCCATATTTTAGATGATTTCACTGATCTTGTTTAATATCACTACTGTTTATTATTTGTAATCTTAATTGCAGTTATAATTTTAAAATTTCTTTTGTAAGCGAACTTTGTTTTATTTGGAAATAAACTTCTCTAAACCTAAACCTAAATAATTAAAGCGTGACATCAATAAGATAACTATACAGTAATACCCCGCTTTACGCGAAGGATACGTTCCGAAGAAAATCGCGTTAACTGAAATTCGCTTATATCGTGGTTTATGATAAAACACAGTCAAAATTTAATACACAAATATAAAAATCATTTTAATCAATCGCTTCAATTCTAAGAACACTATACAATACATAGGTACTCCAATTTTTTACGAAATATTACATGTATTGTCTTGTGGGTAGCGTTTTGTTTACGTTCTTGTAAAATAAGTTCATAACACCCAACACTGTTTGACACACGTTGAAGACACGGTCATCATTATTGTCTATACTTTGCAATGTCCCAACCTGAATAAATTTTTAAAATTCGCGTTATAGTGAAACCGTGCACAACGGGGTATTACTGTTTGTGTTCTGGAAGTCTACGGACCTGGAAGTACATGAACTGCAGCAGTTTGTTGACCTCCGGAGCCAACACCTGCACGGTCCTCTCATATATGTGGACCCTGTCGGGCTGCTCGTTGGACCTCGGCTGAGGAATGGCTCGACTGCAGCACCTCCAAGTATACAGCATCACCGCGTGCGCGTTACCTTGTTCCAGGAGCTCATTCTAGAAGAATATTACTTATTATATATAGATAGATAGATAGATATTTATTGTACACCACAAACAGTAAATTTTACACGGAAATTATAAATTGGAATGTACAAAAAGGCGGTCTTATCGCTAAGCAGCGATTTCTGCCAGACAACCTTCGAATTGGGGAAATTGTGCAGTGAAAATATTATATAATGTAGTATTAAATAAAGCGATATTAACTTTGTCATGTATGTATTGTGCTGGACAAACTGAATGACAGCGACTAATATTATAAAGTAATCTACCTACATTACACTTGACATCATAATATTATTTAATAATATCGAGCAAGTATAACTAATAGATAACATACATATACATACATATATGTCAAATACTAACATCCTCTTTATTAAAGAACAACTTATTTCTTAATGTCTATCTTTTCTTCTTCAGTTTTCTTTGTAAACCAAATTAAGAACAACATATGCAACTAAACAATCCCATTTAATTTTTAGAATGACTAAATTCCTAATTTCTCATTTCTAACTATCAAGATTGTAATATCAAATATGTAATAAATTCTTAGATATTTTATAACATGCTTATAGTACAGTTGGCTAAGTGAATGGAATGCTAGATCATATATAGCAGACTCAATCCAGCTCATCATCATCATCCTATCAGAGCCCACTGCTGAGCAAAGGCCTCTTCTCACATGGAGAAGGTTTGAGCATTAATCACCACACTCGCTTAAGACGGGTAGTGAATTCAAACTTATAATATGAAATTATAGTCAGTGATGTCTAAATACTCTTATAAAGTACATATGACTCGGAACATCCCATAGGTACTTGCCAGGTTTCGAACCCGCACCCTCAAACATGAGTTGAAATTATCATGAATTAATAAAAATCATCATACCAGATTAGCATGGACCGTAGCTTCTTCAATGTACTTGGCTATGCCGGTGACAAATCCATTCCGATCTTCAAAGTTAGTGTCAAAATTGGCCTGGTAGAGAATGGAACATGGAGCCGCCTCGATACATGGCTGTTCATCTATAACACAAATAACAATACTTAGAAAGCAGCCCTAGTAGGTTCTTTTCAAATTGTGTTAGGTAGAGAGAGGAGCTTGTACAGTGAAGATGAGCATTTAACGCGTTAGATAAAGGTCCCTTAAACCTACACCTGGGTCACAAGTCCCATCATCACACATCAGAGATACAAGGAAATAAATAAGATTGTATGTACAAGTCAAGTTAAATAAATAAGATTGTATGTAACATGTAGTGTGTGATGGATGGGTCTTCTCTCATCTTATATAGAGAGACGAAACCTCTCATCATTCCATGTATTCATGATGCGTGTGTCGGGTCCATCGTTGTAGTGAGAGGAGCTTCAACAGTGACTGGGACTTGTGACCCAGGTATAGGTTTAAGGGTTGTAGTGTAGGTTGTATTTGTAATAGTATCCAGTATACAATAAACAGAATAGAAACTTCAACTGTATTCATAATAAACATAGTTATACAAGAATAAAAAATATCGTCAATTAGATCCTAGATAATGATGAATGATCACTAAATTATGTTATACCTATAGTTACAACACAATTTCACCGGTAATTATGATGATGAAAGTGAAAAATATAAATTTCTTTTACAAGATGCTTCATCAGTTATTTTCAATCAAAATTACCAATAATAGAGTTTACTCTTAGATATAATCAGAATAATACAATTGGATTCCCACAGGATATTGGTATATGTACATCCGAATGCATAATCAGACGATTAGCTGGTACCGATAAGAATAAGTAATTACGGAAATGACTCTAGTACATGAAACATCCTCATTACACCAACCTGGTAGAGTTAGCTCATCCAGGACATCCACGTTGCTCAACGCATCAGAGAGGGACACCTTCTCACTCACAGACATGACTTATCCCTACTAATATTATAAATGCGAAAGTAACTCTGTCTGTCTGTCTGTCTGTCTGTCTGTCTGTCTGTCTGTTACGCTTTCACGCCTAAACCACTGAACTGATTTTAATGAAATTTGGTACAGAGATAGAGTTGACCTTGGGAAAGAACATAGGATAGTTTTTATCCCAGATTTTTGAAAGGTTCTCTTGGAAACGCGATATAACCGAACTCCACGCGGGCGAAGCTGCGGGCGGAAAGCTAGTATTTTAATAAACACTGAAATTACAAGACCAATACACAGTCGATAATTGCTGCACTATTGTCACGGCACTTAGCACTGCTGGAATATAATATCTAACTTAATTCATTTGTTTGTTGAATTTTTTTGTATTAACACTAATTGATATATAATGAATCATTAATTCTTATAAAATTTTAGGTAAATAAACACCCCACCTAGCTTTATTAGTGACAGTTATAAAGACTAGTGTTGCACTATAAGCACTTAATGTTCATATATTGTTAGTCAATTATATTATCGGTTATTTATTTAAAATTATTATAATGAAAAAAGATTTTTAACTACATATTTCATATTATTAAAATGACAAAGCCAACTAAATAAATATCTAGTATTTGAAAATGTTTTTTATGGTCACTTTATAGTCATATAAATGTTATATACCTTTCTGAAATTATGTAACCAAGTACCAACTACCTACATACCTGTATATTAAATTATTTGATGTTTTAATAAGAAAAAGATTATGTTTAAAATAGAGTTTTTTCAACATTCAAACTTTATTGCATGGCAATAAGTCATACCACTTAATACAATAGGTACTATTTTTTAAAGTTGGAGGGAAAAAATACTTTTGGTATTGTTGAATTTAAACTATGCACTTTGAAGTTAAAGGGGAGTGACAGCAAGATACATTTCAACTTAATTATATTAATAAGAGATGATAAAACAAATTCAATTATTAAATCAGAGTTTATTTTTCTCGATGAAATCCATCGACAGCTTGTTTTATTTTCCTTCCTTTCTACCAGAACTCGCTAAATTAAATAAAAAACATCTATTAAAGAAACTAATATATTCTTCATCTGTTTTTTTTTTAATAAATGATAATAATTAGGCAGGTACCTAACTAGTTACAATATTTTGGCGCCATATTTATGACACGAATTTTAAATTTTCAACTCGGCTTTGTATTAAAATGAATACATATTTTTTATTAAAGTATATAATGCGTTAGATAAGGGGCCCCTTAAACCTACATCTGGGTCGCAAGTCCCAAGCACTGTTGATTGTTGAAGTTCCTTCCTTGCAATGCGATGGACCCAGCACCCGCACGATGAATCCATTGAATGCTAAGAGGTTTCGTTTCATTTAATATTGCATTCTAGTAATAAAGCAAATATTTAAATTCACTAACATATCCTATATTGTTAACAAACACTATCTGCCGTCGTGCCGCCAATTTGAAATTTTACCTTCCTCATATGTTTTGTATAAGATCAGTTTAAAAGGAGATGTCAATAAAACAATCATTAATTAGGTAATAATGTGTAATCATGAACACAACGTGTCTTCCAAAAGGAAGAAAAATATACAAATGTACTCTAAAAGTAGCATGCTGGCCGCTGTCTGTCCATGAGAAGTTGTCTAGCACATCGGTATAGTTTAAAACTATATTAACTTTTTACATTCACAATATTTTACCAACTGTCAGGTGTTATGAATTAAAAGCAGTGCATGAGATTATTCTTCCTCATAATAAAACAGAAATAGTTTTCACTTCTTCCGATCTCTAAGTTTTTTTTTAAGTTTAATTCGCATACACGTTACAGACAATGATTGTGTATCACTAATTGATGGAAAAAAATTATTTATTAAAGACATACAATATATATTAAGTGACCACTAAAATTTTTATTGAATTTTTAAAATAACATTCAAAATCAATAATACTTTGATATCTCTGGTCATCTCTTAAATGCACATGGTTTCATTAACAGCCAAAAATAGGGTTTTCCATAAGTAGAATTCCTAAAATCTCTATCATACATACAATTTATAATGTTCATTATTAGACCCGATCTAGAACTCAATTGGAACTTCTTGCATCACCACCTTGAAACCCAACCCGTTAATCTGATTCTTTTCATTGTCTATAACATCCAGACGACCGTTTCCGTTGTTGACCACAATGTTTAAGTTATCATACTCCGTCAACTGAACTATCGGTGAAGCCATCTCATAGTCCATATTCATAAATTCCTCGCTATCGTTATGAAGGGATTCCTCATAGTTATCAAAGTGTATCTCGGGACGAGCATCATCGAACGGCATCTCAGGTATGTTGCTTCTGATACAACGATGATTGTGGAGCAGAGATGGCCAGAAGAAAACTTCCTCACACACATAACACTGGAGATTCTCTTCGTATGTCTCTTTGACGATGCTGTGGACTCTCCTCATGTGTCGGTTCAAACAGTAATTGGATGACAGGTATTTGCCGCATTTCTGAAAGAATTAGACAGATATGTTAGGTTGAATAACAACACATTGAGAATATACAATGAAAACTACATCAGATCAGCATGATTTGAAGCTACAACCTCCGGAAAATTCTTATTAAGGATTAGAAATATCTAAATTGTGTTGTAAAGAGACTGAAATACAATAATCCAGAGCTCGCAGCTTTGAATACAGCTAAAGGTTTGAATTATTTGAATTTGAATAGAAAATTTAGCTCAAAGCTCAGAGGGAAAGGATTTGTTTGTAGGAGTTCCTTAGATAAAAACTGTGGGAAGTATGATAGTTACCTCACATTTATGGTTTGATAGTATGGTCTTCTTGGTAACCGGGTCTACAATGGCCTTTTTAAGTGTTCCTATTGATACATTGGTTGCACCTATGAAACTCTCTGGCCGATTCGGTACCTGCTTCATCTTGGGTTTCTTAGGCAGTTCTATTTTCTCTAGAACCAACTTTGGTTGAAGGCTCAAAGGTAGTTCTTCTCCCAACTTATAGGTCGTTTTTAACTGAGTTCCATCATCAGTTATTAAATCATCATTGTCAACATCATCACCATCTTTCCGTGTCTGTGAGTTATCGGTGCTATTCAGAAAGTGTGACCATTTGTGTTGGAGCATTTCGGACTCAGCATCAAACTTTTTACTGCATTGATCACAAAAATGATAATCATTGTAATAAGTAGTTGTTGTGTTTTGCAAGTCCGGCAACTCGCCGACATGTTTTTCTATATCTTCGAGGGAATTAAAGCTGGTATCGCAGAACAAACATGTGAAGGATCCCGATGTTTCTATGTAGTTGGATGTTGGCCGTTCCGTTGAATGAGAATACATGATGTGGTGGGCGGCTTCACATTTGTTGTGAAACAGCTCTTTGCACACGTCACATATGAAAAACGTTCCGACGTGCTCGTAGCTATGATCCTTAAGATCCATGAACCGGAAGAAATGTTTGACGCACGTCTTACACTCATACTTCTTGACCACTCTGCATACTTTCTCTCTATGCTCCAGATATAGCTTTTTATTTGGCAGCAGTAATCCGCACGCGTCACAGTGCAGTTTGATGTGAACTTTGAAGAAGGTTCGGTCAACAAAGTCTTTACTACAATAATTGCAGATGTAACACTTCCGTTTCTTGTGGTTCTGTCGCATGTGGATCTTCAAAGTTTCGTAGTCTTTAAATATCTTGGGACACTTCCTACATCGGTGGTACTCTTCGACTTCGTGAACTATTATGTGCTCAGAGAATGAAACTCGTTTGGGTGTCTTCACTGTCATATGTTTGTTTTCTAAGTGGTTGTTGAGTTTTCTTTCACTGGGATAGCCCTTGTCACATATCCTACATTTAAAATTCTCGTTCTGATGACGGAGCGGCTCTTTTAAGCTGTTCAGATCCTCCCTCACTAAAACTACCGAGCAATCTGTTAATAATTTGCTCATGTCGTCTTTATCCATAATTTCCACCGGTCTCATATCATCTTTCAGGTCGGGCGCCTTGGAATGTTTATTTATATAAGGAGTTATATCAATTCGCTGGCATAGTACTAGAGGCACTTTTTCGAAGCCGCGGAATGTCTCCTCCGTCGAAAGACTTCTCTTGTCCCTCGAACATTCCACAACACTATCGTCGATTTCCAACAACTCCTCGTTGTCTCCATCGCAAATCAATGGCATTTAAATAAAAAAGAGGGAAAACTAAATGATAAACACAAAAACTAACAATATAACAAGTCTTGACATCTAGCTATGACAGTAGACACATCCTGACTCTGTAACTACTTGAATGAGAACTCAACGGAAACACAGACTAACTGAATTATGGTAATTTATTGTATACATACTAAGATATTCCTTTTAAAATAATAACATAATCATATTGTTTTTAATAGAAATTTCACTTTTCTTGAATGAATTCTGATAATACATAACTAGCGATAATATCTTAACACGCGAAAAATATCAATCTTAAGAAAAAGTCTTATTTTTTTACATTTTACATCAGAATTCGTAGTCATGTATAAGTAATGAAAATAGATATAAAATACATATATTGAAACTAAAATACAATAAGTGTAAAAAAACAGTATTTTTTTTTACAGAAATAACCAAAATATATCAATTGATATTTCGAATTTCAACTTTAGTAATGGAGTCACTTATATTTTAAATAAATAATTATCATTTTACTTTAATGAGTTTAATAAAAAATCCCTTTGATTAAAAACCATTTTAATTTTATTTATTAATCAACGATTATGTTAGCGTTGTCACGTGACAGATAAACTTTGATTAATTCAATTTTCAGAACGCACTAATTTTATTGTGCGTGCGGCTGGTTAATTTATAACGCCAATCTTGTTAAAATAAATATTATTATTTGATCGGGAGCTGTCCGAATGCAAGATGTTCCCGCCCACGCGCATTCGGAGCTGCCTTCCAGTCATGAACCCTATGTTCAGACGCGTTAAACCCCACAAGCCCTTCAGGCAGGTCCACAACCAGACAAAGAGCGTCGCTAACAATCAGTTGCAAAAAACGAAATGGATGAATCTGAGGGCGATATTCACGCGATGGGTGCCTCTAGGCAGCGTTATATATGTGGGGTGGTGTTATATACGGTCGACTGTGAACTACGAAGTATCCAGGGTGGAAATCAAGTTTTACGAAATGTTCCCGTTCCGTATAACGAGCCGCCTGTGGGGACGGCTCGCGGCCTGGGAGCTGCCGACTTCGATCAGGAGCTTCGTGTACGGCACGTACGTGAGGATGTTCAACGTGAATCTCAACGACGCCGCCGTGACTGATCTCTCGTACTACAAGAGCTTGTCGGCGTTCTTCACGCGATCTCTGAGAGAAGGCGCCAGGTACATATCTCCCGCGTACTGTGTGTCGCCTTGTGACGGTGTCGTGTTAAACTGCGGGCCGGCAGATACAGACAAGATAGAACAAGTGAAGGGAGTCACGTATAGTCTGGAGGAGTTTCTGGGAGAAAACAAGTGGTCTAAGTCTAATAGTAACTATTATCAGTCTCTGTTGAAGAACAGGGAGAACATTTTACACCAGTGTATTATATATTTAGCCCCCGGAGACTATCATCGGTTTCACTCGCCCTGTGATTGGTCGTCAAGTTTCAGAAGACACTTCTCCGGGAAACTTCTGTCTGTTAATCCGTGGATGGCCAAGTTAATACCGGGTCTGTTTACGATGAACGAGCGAGCCGTGTACGTCGGTGAGTGGAAGCATGGCTTCTTCAGTATGACGGCCGTCGGAGCCACCAATGTAGGCTCCATCGAGATATACAGCGACCCTGAACTAAGAACGAACACGAAAGGTAAACGAAATCGAATCGAAGAAATGGAAATACACACGGACTATAAGAAAGGTGAACTGTTTGGCCAGTTTAATATGGGCAGTACAATAATATTACTGTTCGAAGCTCCCGCTGATTTTAAATTTGAGTTCAAGTCCGGGGAAAGAGTGTTGATGGGTCAGGCATTGACGACGGCAGCTAAGGAACAGTCCAGATGACCGGCTTATTCAGATCTCTTCAACATTGCTCAGGCGGCCATTGTATTGTATGTTGTGTTGCTGACGTTGTAGGACTTCAGATCTATATAATAGATGTAGCTCTAAGTTACAATCAAGTATTACGATGCTTATCAAATCATTATGAGGGGTCCGGTCAGCGGACTCTCATAGAATTCCAATTATATTGTTTTTCAAAGCTTTTTGAATATATTTTACAACTTGTATATAAAGTAGACGAGTCATGAGGTTCTTTATAGTTGTACACAGAATAGCCTTCACTCAAGTACAGCTTGTTACTTTGTACCGACAATTTTATCATATTGAGTCATGTGAGACAAAAAATTACTCATTTAATTATATATATAGAAAACATTGTGAGTTATAGTATATATATACTGCTTTATTTTGCTTTGAATTTCAATACGACATCCAGGAGATATGCAGGCATTTCTCTAAGAATCTAAAAATTGTAGCTGGCAAAGTTGAGAAGCTTTTTGGTGAGCCGACGGCAAAAAATTTGCTTGAAAATTATATTTATTAAGTCAAAATTTATATGATATTGTGAGCTTAAAGTGTTGTAAGTTATTGTAAATGAAGATAATATCTGGTAGGTGAAGAGATTTACAAGAAGCTTTGTTGACCGATATGTGATTTGAAATCCATGTACAAATATATGGAACTCAAGTTCCCAGTTTTATATAGTAACTATAGATGGAATCATAGATACTCATAGATATATGTAGATATACCGATAGATTATAAATTTATATTTTTTTAATACAGGGCTGTAGAGCTCACTTCCAGTATGACCCTTTATGAATACTGTATATGCTATGTGTTTCCTTTTGATGTAAAAAAAAACCAAAGTTTGTGTGTACGTTCACAAAATATATTAATTTCAATAAATATGTGTTTTATTGTCTACTAGTTTTTGTCCGCGACTTCGTCCACGTTAATTTCACCTTTAGTAATATGTGTATAGCTGAACGGGTGAACTCTATTCCGCCTTAGTGGCCGTAAATAACCAAATATTGGAATGTATTCAGTATTTTTTCGATGAAACAGAATTTAATATCTTATGTCCTTTCCTATGTTCTAATCTATCTCTACAGCAATCTTCATCCAAACCCGTACAGCCATTAGAGTTATAAATAGTGTATCTAATACGACTCTTATATATATAGAAGATATATATTTCATATATGTTGTTGTTTATTATAAGGTCCTTCCTAAGGTATGCCAGGATAAAGCTCTTAAAAGACTAAATAAGGAATTGCTGAATAAAATGTATGTACGCTTGTGTTGAAGTCTTTGTATATAATAATTAATAATATGTATTATGACTTATGACATATATATTTTATAGACAGGTGATAGTGATGTTAGCTTGCTGTCAACATTTTTATTATAACGGTTTTTTCACATTGTAGATGAAAATCGATAAAACATCTTTAAGAATTTATTTCATCTCAAAAATTTGTTCCCTATAGATTTTCTCTGTATAAATGTTTGTTAATGAATGTTAACTTCTCTTAATATCACTAAGATTTTGTTGAATTGATTGTTATATTCATCGTCCGTAATTTCATCAAGAGTCCTCAACGTGTCATTTTCAATGAATTATCAATATATTGCATATGTTTTTAGTAATTCCATTAAAATCTTGAGCAATTGTTAAAAATGGTAGATCCTAGCTGTGGTCAAGTTATTATATCTCGAATCTGTGCTGGCTCGACCGTTGTTTGGGACATGCTTTAAAAGTAATTTCAGCCGTTTGCAATGAGACTGTAATATCTTCAAATCCGATAACAATTCAGTCACGGTGTCAATATACACCAAGTAATATGACGCCTCTGGTACCGTCACATTAACGTGTCGTGATATTCGTTTTATTAGGAGCGATGTATTTCAAAACACTTCGGCCGATCTACTCATTATAAACTATTATAGTGCTATTATACAGTTTTGAATATCATTATTCAGTCGTGGTGGCTTAGTGGTTAAAGCCCCGCCTATCGTGCATAAGGAAGGTTCGAAACCTGGGAAGTACTGACGTGATTTTTTCGACTCATATGTACCTACTTTATAAGAGTATTTAGACACCACTGACTGATGAAGGAAAACATCGTAAGGAAACATGGACTTGTAATGAAATTATAAGTTTGAAATCACAAACCCGTCTTAAGCGAGCGTGGTGATTAATGCTCAAACCTTCTCTATGTGAGAAGCGGCCTTTGCTCAGCTGTAGGCTCTGATAGACTGATGATGACGATGATTCAGTGTTATAAAACATCGAAACACTAATATTTCTTATTTTGTGCAAGTCTTCAGTGTCTTGCTTCTTTACTTTTAGGAAACTCAACTTGATCCGTCTCGACAGTGACCGTCATGATGCCTCCATAAAGTTTGTTTTGAGATGAATCTACAAGGAAAGTGTTAAAGAGAAAGAGTATGAACTGAACTATATATGTATTGCATATGTTATGGGCCAAGCGATTAATACGGACAATATTCATAATGCCCGGGCAATGTGACAAATTGATTGGATATAATCATATTGCCCGCTATTGACATTATTAATATTGGCCGGGCATTATGTATAATGGCCGATTAATCACTTGGCCCACAACATATACAAACATTGTCTTTACACATTTACGTATCAACATGAACTGTTGAGGAAACGCGAGCTTAACAATCAATAAATAAAAGTTCTAGTAAATACATTTTGCTGTAACAAAAAAACTTTCTTTTACATTATAATAAGTTTTATAAAAAATATTTTTGATGTTTTTTTTCTAATATAAACTTAAAATAATTCAGAGATAGATTGTTGATAACTCGATCTATCTTCTTTTTCAAGTCGGGGAAATTATTGTCATAGATTGACTTGATAGTTTATTTCCAGGTAGAATATTGTTTATGAGATCTAAGACTTGCGAGTATTCAGTTAAACTAAACTAATATTATTCGTATTACATACTTACTACGCGTTCTTTATTTTAACTATTTATATATGTACTGGCCGACGTTTCGGTTACTTTCCAACCATGATAATTAAGACGAGATGGTTCTGAGTGAATGAATCAGAAAATATTAGTTTCATTCAAACATTTGTTGATTATTTTATTTATTTATTAAACATTTGTTGTTTAAGGAAAAAAGCTGCTATCTAATTAGCTATATTTATACGAGTAAAATTTATTCATTTCTATAAGTACATATTTGACGATATAGAAAACTTTATCATTTGAAATATCTATTTAACTTCAAAAAATCTCAAGTTATTAGAATACAAGAATCTCACAGAAGATCGGCGTGAAGTAGCCTTTAGTGGCTGCGTTTCGTCCGATGAGTGAGAGAGCCGGTTGCCCTTTCCCTATTCCCACCCTTTCCTAACATTTCCTTATTCCCACCTCTCCCTATCCCTAAAAAAACAAGGTTGGCAACGCATCCGCAACGATGTTGTGGATGTCCATTTGCGACGGTAACCACCTTCCATCAAGTGGGCCGTCTGCTCGTTTGCCACCTTTCACATAAAAAAAAAAACAAAATACAAATCTTGTTTAACGAAAAATACATTTATGTTTGTTAGGGAACTAGTTGTTATTCAGAGTTAGTTATGTTTAAATAATGTCTAAAATATTTCTATAATAGACTGTGACAAATAACTTATTTTGTAGTTCTATGTCTTTTGTTTTGTGTCTTGAAACAAACATAATATTTATATTATGTACTAGTTGTGCCCCGCGGTTTTACCCGCGGATTTCCGGGACGTAAAGTAGCCTATGTGTTATTTCTGGATGTCAGATTCCTGTATACAAAATTCTACCAAAATCGGTTCAATCGTTTGAGCGTATAGAAGTAACAAACATACACAAACACTCACAAACTTTCGCAATTATACATAATATTAGTAAGATTAATGAGATCTAAGACTTCCTCGAGTATTCATTTAAATGAAACACATCCAGTCTGCCCGTGATCATGGTCGCTTTAAAGTAACCGAAACATTCTTTTCATTTATTTTTATACTAGTTTTTGCCCGCGACTTCGTCCGCGTTAATTTCGTCATTAGTAATATAGGTATAGCTGACCGGGCAAACTCTATTCCGTCTTCAATAACCCGGTATTGGTATTTATTAAATTTCTCCTGTTTCAATCGAACAGAATGATTGACATATTAGTTAGTTGTCAAGTCTAATGTCAAAAAATCGTTTGTATGGGAAATAGAAAAGGGCTGTTTTTAGGGTTTTCCCGACAATTATTCCAATTTTTCTCACCTTTTAAACCTTCCCTGGACCTCCAGGACTATTTCAAGACTAAAATTAGCCAAATCCGTTCAGCCGTTCTCGAGTTTTAGCGAGACTAAGGAACAGCAATCCATTTTTATATACATATATAGAAGACTAGAAGACCTGGCGAACTTCGTATCGCCCTATAATCAAGAAATATCTATTACGTTTTTTTATTTATATTTTTGGAGTTTACCTGTAAGCCATAAATCTCCGTGTTTTGAAGTGCGACAGAATGATTGACATATCAGTTAGTTGTCAAATCTAATGTCAAAAAAACCGTTTGTATGGGAAATAGAAAAGGGCTGTTTTTATGGTTTTCCCAGTAATGAATCCATTTTTTTTCACCTTTTATACCTTCCCTGAACTTCCACGAACATTTCAAGACTAAGATAAGATAAATCCGTTCAGCTGTTCTCGAGTTTTAGCGAGACTAAGGAACAGCAATCCATTTTTATATATATACTTAGAAGATTAATGCATTTTTTAACATTCCTAGAGATGTCTCCTACTCCTGAAAATATTCTTCATCTAATATTACACTATTCGTCTGCCCAGTTAGAAGCGAATATAAAATAAAAAAACCTTTTTGGTCTTTCCCACAGACTAATATAAATTTTCTTTATAACTTATTAAAATTATTCGTATGTATACACAAGCTTCTGTGTACAAAATATAAATACAATTTGGGATCGTAGTCGCTATAATACAAAGTGTGACAGCCCTCCGTGAAGCAAAGAATTAAGAATGGATTATTAAATAGTGTTGTCATGGAGATTACTAAGTACTAACATACAACCGGGTCAATGACTTGTGTTCAACTCAAGGAGGAGTGTGGAGGAATATTGTTAGCGATTGAAACGAACGAAGCGGAACGAATACCGGAGACCAGGTCACTCATCATTAGAAAAGATCACGGCGGATAAATGTACGATCGAATAGAGGATTTAATGTTCTATAGTTAAGCTATCCGTGTGGTTTTTAACAAAGAAAAATCAATTTAGGACGGGAAATCGGAATCCATGTTCAAAACAATGTCTCAGTACCGAAATGTTGAAGTCGCTTCGTTTATAATAATAAATTTCTATCCCAGATTCAAATATAAATGACATCAAAGGCATGTGTTTTAACCATTTAGCTACACATTGAAATTGAATTGAAAAACACATTGAGTCTCACATTACTGATTACTTAAATCAAATAACCGAGTGGTAAATAATAGATTAAAAATTGCGAAGTAATCCGAAAAAATATTAGTTTCATTTAAATGAATACTCGCGAAATTCTAATAACAGATTTATTACTAAGATGTTAATATAGTGATATTTAACGTTGATTAAAATTCAGGATGATTTTCTATACAGTCGTAGAGATGGAACAATATTTAGGATATTTATACCACAAGAATCCCTCGAGATAAGTTGTTAAGGCAGAGAATATAAATGGTCAATATTCAAAATAACTTTATTAAGAAAATGAACAAAATTAGAGCTCATTTTATTATTTTATAAACTACATACTCCCGACGATTAGGTGGCTTTAGGCCTCTGCCTCGAATCTCGTGGGTAGCGGGGCGGCGGCGCCGGCGGCGCGGGAGCGGCAGGATCTTACGCGTATAATAAATGAACATCGCTGGGCAATATCCTTGCATGTATAAAATATATAACTCTTGACGCCGCTGACTCCGCGGAACGAACACCAAGCCGTGTGAACCAGAAGATTCCTGATACACACAAGCTATGGAATGGTATTGCTATCCTGACATCGGGTCAATCATGTAGTCTTAGGTGTAGGTTATAAATTTTAACATGTAATTCTCATTCTAATATACATATAAGTATGTATCGCAGTTTTCCTGAACCTCCGGTTGCCATCCTATGTAATTATTCTTTGTTTGATTTTGATAGACATATAATTCATTTTCATCTCCACATTACCAATTTTCATTTCTTTAGGCAGAGGGACTCTACTCACTATTTATTTATTTGATGATCGATTCGATGTTTTAGACTATTCAGTAACACGTGGAAGGTCCTGTGCGCTCTGTCATACTTTTTATAACTAGCTCAGGGCACGGAAGACGTTTTCCACCAACGCAATATATTGGTTGTGTAAGTAGACAGAAAATAAAGGTCACCTGTTTCTATTTGAGATCTATAAATTATTATAACAAATGTAACCTTCTCGTTTGTTCAAAGGTACTGTATGTTCAAACGTTTTAAGTTTTAATTGAGATAATAATGTATTATTTCATTGACTTCATGAGAACTGCAAAATTTCATTTGAAGTTTCAAAAGTTAATGTAAGTAAATAGTAATATATATTTTTCTATAAATATTTGTTAAATAATGTTTTAAATGTATTTATTGTGTATTTTTGTTAATTCAAGTCTAACAATAAGCCGTGGTTCCGACTCTCGCTTCCTGAACGTCTGCCGTCAACGTCAAAGTTCTTTGTAAACAGTTTGTACTTCAACATCAGCTTGTTTTCTGTGACCAATTTATTTTCTTCGGTGTCTTTTCGTTTGTGTGCTCTTCTCTTTATAGGATCTTGACTGTTTTCTTTAAATTCAACTCTCGACGTTACTTTATCACAGTGATTTATTTTCTGAGCAATTTTTTCAGCGATAGTTTCCACTAAACGATCAAAATTTTTATTATTCAATAATTTTTCTATCAAAACATCTATTTTGAGATCCTCTGACCCCAATTCGTTATTATTATCCTCTCCGTTTATTGTGGTTATTATTATGGCTGAAAAAAAATAATTATTTCTATTATTATTTTACACAGTAGGAGTCACGTAATATTTAACGCATTTTTAATTCCTCGATATATGTACCTAACATTTTCGTCACCAAAGAGGATTACCATTATCAATTACAAACCTTATATTTAATGTGATTTTTATTTTTCAAGAATAAATATTGAGCTAGTACCTATAATATAAAACAACTCACATTGAAAAATAACTATTATAAGAACAAACTTCATGTTGCAAAACATTTTATTACACGTAATATATATGTTTGATACTTTTTATTATTTATTTTATAACATTATTCATATAACTATATTTTCCGTATATATAATGTATATTGTTTTATTTTGATGACTCCACGGTAAATAATAGAATTAACGGATAAATAATACCTATAAAAAAGTAAAATTCCAAAAATACTGATTTTATTGAAGGTAAACTTGCGAGATTCTTAAATACAGATTATTTATTATTGGAACTGCTAAGCATCTGCTGGTGGGATGTAAGGTACTCCTGGACAGCGGTCAATACTCGCGTCGTCACGATAGGGTTTTAGAAATCATACGTGAAGCGGTTAGTCTTTCGGTAACCAGAGCGCAAAGAGAAATAACCACAAACGAACGATCAGTAGGTTTTGTGAGAGAAGGCACTAGGGCTATAAAATCAAATGTCAAACAATTAGCCAAAACTATGTATTCACAACATGTAAGACAGACTCTGGCTATAGCCACAAAATTGTTAGGAAGAAGAATTATACAAATAGTATCAAATTATTTTTATATATACATATTTGAAAAATTAATAATTACAAAAAAATATAACTACTTGAATATTCATCGACTAATTAGTTTACTGAATAAGGGAGCGTTCAAGCATTACGTAACGCAATTTTGGGGGAGGGGGGGGGGGTCTCGTAAAACGTTACGATGCGTTACTGGGGCGGGAGGGGGTGTCTCTTACAAAACGTTACGTAGCATTGTTTCTAAAAAAATATATTAATAAAAACCCCCAACTGGCAACTCTTTTCATATACATTACATTGTTGACCAGATTGTATTAGTCTGGTCGATATTTTTATTTGTTATTCCAAGTTTGCAAACCTCTTAATTGATATTTTACGGGGAATACATAGATTGCATTGTAAGTCTTTTGATGAAATTGATCACTTGAGTGTTACGTAACGTTTTGAGAAGGGGGGGGGGGGGCTACAGAAAAACGTTACGGTGCGTTACGACGGGGGAAGGGGAGGTCAAAAATCTTAGAAAATTGCGTTACGTAATACTTGAACGCTCCCTAAGTAAAAAAACGAAAATGTCGATAATGATTGGCGCGAATTACATCAAATATACCTACATATTACATAATTTCTACACGGTCACCTGATGTGTAACGCGACATGCGCTAGATGCATGTTTAAATTGAATCGAACTAGAGTATTTTGCGAAGCCGATTTATAGTTTATCTTATATTGATTCTAAAGTGTTACATGATGTAAGAGAAGCCTACAGACGAACGGACGAATAAAAATTAAAAAATCAACACTTACGTAATGAAATAGAAATTAAAATTTAATTTAAAATAAGGAAAGTGCATTTATAAAATTCAAAAATAACGAAAAAGTTTTCCCCGTCAATGTATATTTACCTTAATATTCGGTTTGATGGAATAACAACGAAAAATAATTAAGTACCTATAACAATTTTTTTTTATGTATAGTAATGTTAATCGTCGATAATCCCACAGCATTAATTATTGTTTTTTTTTCGAGGGAAATCTATTTTAGATATTCTGTATCACATTAACGTATGTAAATCTTAGCATTGAGGACATATTTTTGTTTTAAAATTACGCAATTTCGAGTGAGAGTGAGTATAATATGAAAATTACCATTTAACAATATCTAGTCATCATAATTTTAAATTTTCCCTCTTGTTCTTACTTTCTCATTCAACTATTTGCTTGGACCAAAAATACAAAAATAAATAAAACACTTATACCTATGTTATTTCATTAAAACTTGTACTTTTTTATGGTATGGCTTATTTACACTGGAATCGTGGAATGTTTTGCTAATGTCAACGTTTTTATTTGTTGGTAGTATTATAATATTGACTAATGTCTGGAGGAAACACAAAAGAGCTGTCTTCCTCTCTTTATGATCTCCTTCCCCCTGATATCCCCCGTCCCATTAACTTCAAATCCCTACTATCTTTTGGTATTAACAAAATTATTTATATTCTATGTTCGTTTATTAACCTCTATAACATCAAGCTGTAGAATGTGTGTCGGTTAATCAACTAACCACCTGTATATTATATAGTGTGCGTCTTTTTTGTTTGTTTTAGATACATCAACATTTTGGCATTCACTGAACGACCTCAACACCACCCTAGCTCTTAGCTTCTAGTCGCGACCTTGTTCACTCACAAATCCCTCTTTACATAGTTCAGTATAATATCGTTACACGACATTGGCGAAATCTATAAGGAAACGCCACTAACTAAAGAAGAAGAAGAAGCACAAAAGAGTTAGTCAAATGTAATTATATGTTCTTATGTATCAGATCATATACCTATAGACATCACCTCATCGACAGTTACAATGGACGGGCATCACTCAGAATCATTCATTCATCATCATCCTATCAGAGCCCACTGCTGAGCTGCCTCTTCTCACATGGAGAAGGTTTGAATATTAATCACCACACTCAATCAAGATGGGTTGGTGATTTCAAACTTGTTATTTGATATTATAAGTCCATGTTTTCTCACGATGTTATCCTTCATCTGTCAGTGATGTCTAAATACTATTATAAAGTACATATGACTCAGAACAGTCACATTGGTACTTGCCAGGTTTCGAACCCGCGGCCTCATGCATGAGCGGCGGACCTTTAACCACTATGACTCATAACTCAGAATACAAGAGATTAATTGTTAGAGAATATTTAAATCCTATTTGTGTCAATGAATTACTTCTAAACTATCCTCTTTGAATTTTAGTTTGAGTATCAGCTCTTCCAGGTGTTGTGACCAAAAAATAATTATCATACTCTTATATTAGTTATTTAAATCTGTTAATTGTAACAAGTATCCTATGAAACTTCTGTAATCTAGATATTTTTAAAATGTCCTTACATATAAAATTCGAAACCTTTTTAATTGGGACAAAACAATATGGTTTAATAATGAGATCTAAGATTTTTTTGAGTATTCATTTAAATTATACTAATGTATATGTATTACTATGCATTGTTTTATTATTAAAAAATACATACTCCTGATGTTTTTTTTATTTTAGACTTTAGAGCAACTGTAATCACAGGCAGATAGAATCGAGTCTTCTCATCATTCCATATATTCATGGTGCATGTGTCGGTTCCATCGTTGTAGTGAGAGGAGCTTCAACAGTGACTTGAGACATGATCAATACTTAATGACTTTATATGAATGTTTAATTATAAAAATTTCAAATAATTCAAGGACTTAATAAATGAGCATATAGATCATGATTATAAACTAGAAGATACCTTCATTGTATTAATATGAGAAGGTAATTTCAGAATTAAACTCTAATTTTATCAATATGTGAAAGATATGAATGAAATAAAATTTTTGTAGAAGCCAATAAAATAGTTTTATTTAATAATGAACGCATCATATTCTACACTTCGTAGTTGAACTTAATCTTCGTTAACTTAATAAACTGACTTAAATATAAAATAAAACATCCAGTAACTACAGAATCACTTCTTTTTATTTTGTCGCCGTCTTTTAGCTTTCCTCTTAATTTTCTCTTTATTCGTACACAGTTTCGCTATTTTTCTCTTGTGAAGCCACACTGGGTATTGTCCGTTCTGATCCTTGAGTGTTTTCGAGCTGAACACTCTTTTCTTGCCGTCGTCACCGGAAACTTCAATTTTCTCATCATCTGAGCTCATGGCGACGTCCTCTTCTTCTTCTGGCGGCGGTTCTTCCTGTTTCTTCTTATTTTTCTTTTTGTTTATTTCTCCGGCATCCAAGAAGATAACTTGATCGGATTCCATAACCTCACTCTCAGTAACTTTCTCTTCCTCTTTGATCCCCAGCATCTTCTTGAGCCTGGCCAGTTCTTTCACCGCGTATCGTTCCCTCTTTATAGCTCTGCATTTTCTCTTCCATTTACTTCTTATTGACTTGGCCATTGTGTTAAATTTGTTTTTATTTTCAACAGCACTTACTCGTGTTGTCAAAAACAACACGTGAAGGAGCTGTCAAAGTGATGTTGCTAGCTATTTTCGTTTAATATATTATAATATCTCATGTTTTTACTTATTGCATTTAGCTTAAATAAATTTATTAAATAATATAATATCCGTTTTGATATATCTAAAAGTAAGGATTAGTTATATTTAATTTTCTGTGTAATATTTTAAGTTTAAACTAACAAAGCTTTCTGTTAAAAGTAACGTTCAGTATCTTGGAAATATCAATTCTTGTTTGCTTGACGTTCTGTCATAATTCTCTTTTTCAGTTTCTTCTATAATTGGAAATAAAATTGCTATAAACTTGGAAGCTTTCCAGTTTCACAAAGCCACTGTTTACTCTCTCCGCGTCTCACACAGCCATTTGTCGTTATGTTAAGAGTCCTTTGTTCCTGGTGCGTGTTGGTGATTCAGTGAGCACCAGTCGCCAGTGGTTTTTTATTTTGTGCTCGTCATGGGATCCGTGAACATGGATTGTGAGATGAAACGGGAGATGGATGACAGCGGCTGCGTACAAGACGGTAATAAACAATAGTAACAAAAAAAGGACGAAATTCGTTGTCTGAATCTATAATACTCAAGCCTTTATAATAATTTAAAAAAAATGAAATTCAAATTATATCTCATTCAAGAAGGTTTTATATCACAAAAGTCTCTGTAATACTTACTTAATATTAGTTTATAATATTTTTGGGTCAGAGAAGGTGCCGTGTTCATTTAAAATAGTTATTTCCTCTTCTGTTGTTTATAACTCTCCTAGAGGTCTGTTGTAAGTCTTGTGATGTCTACTTATCATTTAAATAATACTTTACTATTAAATTATAGAAAAGAAAGTTGATGAGTATCTTTGTTACTTGTTGATGGTCAAACTGCTGGAGCAATTTTGATAAAATTTGTTATCCATGTAACTAAGACAGAATTCATGCATTTGTTACTTAATATTTAGGGAAAATGTAGTGTTTAAATGAAACATGTTTTCGGATTTTACTTCACGTTTTTATTTTTTGACTATAAACTACATACTCCTGACTTTGCGGCTACTGTTCAGCAACTGTGATCAAGGTTCAATCCAAAAACATTAGTTTCATTTAAATGAGTACTTGTGAAAATCTTAGATCTCAAAATGTTGTGTTGATTGTAAGTGATGATATCCTTAAATTTTAATATAATTGAAACTGTTTTAAACTGTACAAATTTACCGGGTGAAGTCTATTGATAGTCAAATATGGAATTATAAAATGTTCAGAGATTTAAGTTCTTTAAAATACATAAATAATACAGAAAAAATATAGGAACCGCCTTACTAGTCAAAAAACCCTTTTGTGGGTGCTGCAAGCCCTAAAGAGGGCAGTAAGAAAGTGAGAAAAATACTCTAGGCATTGTGTAAGAAACTGGGGGGTGATTTATAATTTGATATAAATAGGATAAGGTATAGTGGTTTTTCAGTAGATGATAAAATTTGTTCCCAAAGTGGGCCGCAGACAAAATTAATTTGGGAACCTCTGGCTTAGAAAATATACAAACTCACTTTGTTTTAATAATAATATGACATTGTTAGTAAATATAAGATACTTTCTAAGAGTTTTAGACATCACTGATTAATGCATTCCCAAAGATGGTTGATGTCAGGCAGGCGGTCGATCGTAACAACTATTAGCCAAAACTATTCATAACATGTAAGGCTGACCCTGGCTAAAGCTGGCAAATTGACAGGTAGAAGAAGATTAAATATAAGATGTAGCTCCTGACTTACAAACTGAATGACACAGTGTTTAATATAATATTTAAAATAAGATTTAAAAATAGTATTATTTCTATGATAGACTATGTTAAGGGGTCCGGTATTTGTTTTTTCTTACATTTTAAAGAGACTTCACCTCAGTTTGATTTTGTTTTATAAATACTGAGGTTAATTGAAGATAATAAAATAATTAACAATTTGTAATAGTTGGATATGTATAAAATTCATAAATATTTAAATGAAACTAACATTTTTTGGGTATACTGCATGTATTATTTTATTTTAACTACATACTTCCGATGTTTCAGTTACTTTAGAACCGTGATCATTAAGACTAGATGTGAATGTCTGTCAGTTGGTCTTGTTATTTATCATCTACAGCCCTTGATTTCATAAATATTGTTCCAATGATATTAATATATTTGTAGTATAATATAGCATATTATTAGTGGCAGGAGAGTAAGTTTTATGTATTTTTGTGAATATATGGATGATTTTGACATTTTCTTGTAAAATATGTACTTTGAAATATTGTAAAATATGGAAAATAAAACTTGGTTTTTCATAGTGTAAATATAACAATCCATGTAAAAAACACATTCTAGACTGAAAATCGCATAAATAAAAAAATATGTATTTACATATTAATCGGGTGTCTGTGTGTGTGTCAGATGGTGTCCCGGCCTCCCAGGTAGGTCTTCTAGACCTGTCTGATGATGTGTTGCTCTACATCCTCCGACACTGCTCCCCCAGGGATCTTAAGGCTTTGGGATAGTGAGTCAATGAATTGTTTGTTAATTATATATAGTTCAATGTCTGTACTGGACCCATCATGACAGTACTTGACAGTCAGTTATCTGTTATAGTTTATTATTCAATAGAAATTATTTAAAACATTAAGTATGGTGTGTGAATTGAATCGTGGACAAGCTAACACACAGGGAGTGGTCAGGAGTCCCAAATTCCGAGACGGCCGTGGTCAAACTACCCTCTTTCTATGTTCTAATGAACGCGAAACTCGGAACTCTTGACTGCTTTCTAAGTGAATCTTTCCTCCCAGTTCGTGTAGCCGGCTGGGTGTATTAGTTCAGGAGCGGTCTCTATGGCGGAGGGTGGACGCGCGAGACGAGCCCTGCTCAGGCTCTCGGCTGGCCTGGTTCATAGACAACACGCTGCATCATGACACACACACGCTCATGATCAGCGGGTATGCGCGGAACGCTGACGGGTACGTGGAACACACGAACACACACACACACACACACACACACACACACACACACACACACACACACACACACACACACACACACACACACACACACACACACACACACACACACACACACACACACACACACACACACACACACACACACACACACACACACACACACACACACACACACACACACACACACACACACACACACACACACACACACACACACGCACACACGCACGCACACACACACACACACACACACACACACACACACACACACACACACACACACACACACACACACACACACACACACACGCAAACGGCAAACACCTTGGTTTATGTTATCGAAATTTTCGCAAGGATCCCTAATTTTTTTTCAAAATAAAATATAGCCTATGTTACTTTGGAAAGATGTACAATCATAATGGTGAAAAAATTTTTAAAATCGGTCCAGTAGTTTTTGAGCCTATTCGTAACAAACAAACAAAAAAATATTACCTCTTTATAATATTAGTTTAGATTATTATTGGTAGTATTTTTTGTTTCCTCTTTTGTATAATAGAAGAAAAAAAAAGTTAGGTTAATATAAAATACTGTCCTTTTCCATGCCGTGAAAACTTTTAATTGAAACAACAATTGGCTAAAAATGTAATTACCTTTATTTTAAAACCTATAAATGGTGTATGTTTTGTAAGTTGTCCTTATAAATAAATAAATAAATAAATGACGCCCGCAGCTGTCTGGGGCTCATCAACGTATCTCGCGACGAGGCGGAGTCGGAGCGCGAGCCGGCGGACCGGGGCGGAGCACCCTCGCACGTCACAGGTGATGTATGACCGCGTCACTGAACACCCTGTATGTATGTATGTGTGTATGTCAACTATCTTCGTTCTTCTGTTCCAGGTGTAGAGCAGCTCAATACTGACAGACATCAGGCGAGGTTCTTCGTGACGCAGAGGGCGCAGCACCTGCCGCGGTGAGTGGCGGGAGCTCAGGTTATACTGGCTCTATATAGTGATACTGTGAATGAATTGAATAGTTTGATTGGTTCGAGTCCCATCAGTGTAAAGTTCTGTGTTTATATCATCGTGCCTTATTTGGTAAGCGTGAAATATCAATACTATAATAGCTTGCTAGTCAGTTTGATTGAGTGTATTACAGTACTGAATAATAAAATCAAATGACATAGTATTTGTACTAAACTAAGTTTCTTTATCGTATTATGTACGTGTATGTATGTATGTATGTGTGTGTGTCTTCAGTTCCCTTATCGTCATATGTATATGTATGTATGTGTGTGTTCAGTTTCCGCGGCGTCCCGTCGTGGCCGGACCGCCGGGCCCGCCGCGGGCCCCAGGCGTGTCGCGGGCCTCAGTTCTCGGTGGGCGCTCCGCTGATGTCTCGCCTCACGGACACCTGCCCGCGGCTCGACACACTCGCGCTGGAGTACTGCTGCATCGACTGTAACACGGTTGGTTGTTTGTACACGCACAACTTAAAAACTAAGGCATCGATATGAGAAATTGTGCCGGAATTAGAAAGTTCATCTGTGTGGGAAGGCTATAGATATAAAATATGACGATTATATATACGATAAGTGTTAATAGAGAAAACATTTAAATCATGGTATGACAGCAACAAAACATAAATGTATGTATCATATGTATAATATAATTCCCCAGACGTCTCTGAGCAGCTTCCCCCGCGGCCTGCGGCGTCTGTCCCTGCGCGGCTCCCGCTGCTACAACATGACCATAGACAAGTCCTTCCTGTTCAAGATACAGGACTACCTGCCGGCGCTGGAGGTGCGGAACACACGGACACACACACACACACAGACAGAAACAGAAATATAAAATGAGTTTGAATGAAACTAATATTTTTCGGTTATACTACGCGACCTTTGATAAAAAACTACATATTAACGACTTTTCGGCTTCTCTCCAGAAACCGTGATCATAAAGACGCGATTTGAGTGAAGTAGCCGAACACAAAAAAAAGTCACGTAGTATATCCCAAAAATATTAGTTTCATTTAAATGAATAAGACTTGCGAAGATCTCATAATTCAACAATAACCTAAAGCTATTTAAAAAACAATTGGTTTCAGTTAACAGCCAATAATAGTGATTGAATCTATTTTCTTATCCATTATTTAGTTCCTCACTTCATCTGTTTATAATTTCATTTTATTTTTCATTATATTTTTATCGTTGTAACTTGTTCATATTTTTCTGTGTAAAATTCTCTCTATTTATTGTAAGTGTATTTTCTTATATCTATATGTATTTTTAAGTGCTGATGTATTTTTTTATAAGTGAAATATTTAGTATATATTCTGTGTTCACATAGTTGTTGGGTTATAACTCAGCTTATTTATATCTAATGTTTACTTATCAATTAATTGTATATTTAGTTATAAATTATAACTAGAGATAGAGATTATAACTTATAATCTCTTTTGTGAACCGTAAATAAAATAAAAAAAAATGTAAAATGCATTACTACATTAAGGGCACGACAGCTCAATAGTTACAACGCCCGCCCTCACACATTGTTAGTAGCGGGTTCAATCACTATGTAATATATTACAAGTATTGAATAAACACGACACAACACAAGCTCGCTTAGTGTGGACGCCCTTGGAAATCGCGCCAAAAGTTTAAAGTTTATTTTTATACATTTATGTGACATTAGAATAAATAAGCATAATTATAAATATTATAAGTAATTAATATAATAAGTATAAGGAAATAAGCTGTTGTAATATCATATAGTGAGATTCCAATACTGTGCTAATATTTTTTTGATTTGTTCATTCAATACTTGTAATATATGTATGTGTGTGTATGTGTGTTCAGAGCCTGGACGTGTCGGAGTGTGAGTGGATGGACCCGGCGACCCTGTTGCCTCTCAGCAAGCTGCCCGCGCTACAGCAGCTGTTCCTGAGAGACTGCCACAAGCTGGCTGAGTTCGTGGCATACGCCTCGCTCACGGCCAGATACGGGTTCAGGACACTCAAGGTGCGGACACTCACTGGATGGGTGACCGCTCACCATTAATACAACATACATACAAATAGTCGCGAGATGTGTCGTGGAGATGAGTCCTGGAGTTCGGTTATATCGCGTTTCAAAGAGAACCTTTCAAAAATCTTTGATAAAAACTATCCTATGTTCTTTCTCAAGGTCAACTCTATGTCTGTACCAAATTTCATTAAAATCAGTTCAGTGGTTTAGGCGTGAAAGCGTAACAGACAAACAGACAGAGTTACTTTCGCTTTTATAATATTAGTAGGGATCTCTAAGTCTCGTACGGCGAAGGAAAACATCGTGAAAAAACCTGGACTTATCAAATTATAACTTTGAAATCACCAACCCGCCTTGAGCAAGCGTGGTTAATGCTCAAACCTTCTCCATGTGAGAAGATGCTCAGCAGTGGGCTCTGATAGGATGATGATGAAGTATAATAGTGTATGTAGTGTAGTCATCTATATATAGCGGCCATCTGAAAATCAGTCCTTTGCATTAGCACAGCTTATACTGAGATGGACCCCCTTGCTACAATTTTTTTTTGTATAACTGTATAATATATGTAATGTATGTGTGTAGCAAAAAATAAAAATAAGTAAATAAAATAGTCCATCAGTATGTGTGTGTGTGCAGGTGTTGGATCTCCGCGGGTCACCGGTGGGTGACTCGGAGGTGTCCGCGCTGGGCTGGCTGCCTCAGCTGGAGCGGCTGTGGCTGGCGGCCGCGCGTGGCGGGGGGAGGTCGCTACACGCGCACTACACCGATGACCGGGAGACGGAACACGAGGAGCTGCAGCGGTGGGAGACGGCGGTGAGGAGGGACATACACACACACACACACACACATACACTCACACAGACACACATAACATGTCCTGTATTTATATCATATACTAGAAGACCCGGCGAACTTCGTATCGTCCTATAATCAAGAAATATCTGTTACGTTTTTTTATTTATATTTTTGAAGTTTACCTATTAAAGCCATAAATCTAAGTGTTTGATGTGCGACAGAATGATTTTATTTTGACAGAAATTTAATGTCGAAAAAAAAAATTAATAAAACATTGTCCAGCGGACAAAATTGTGAATCTAAACCATTCCCAGATCACCTTGAACACACACAAAAAATTTCATCAAAATCGGTCCAGTCGTTTGAGAGAAGTTCAGTGGCATACACACTCACAGAAGAATATATATATATATATATATATATATATATATATATATATATATATATATATATATATATATGTGAATGATGTCAGATATTTCGCATTTTCTCAGGAGCGGGAGTACTTCAAGTGTAGACCGAGCAACGGAACACACGAAGAGACGAGTCCGGACTGTAAGTACGATGAGAGGGAGGAGACATACAGGGAACAGAGAACAGACGGGTTAGTACAGACATGAGACGAGTGGGAGAGATGGGGAATAACATGTATATATATATACTGATACACACTTGTACACAGACCGACATGTGACGTCAGAGAGGAGAAGATAGAGAACAAGAAGAGGAAGACGACCGAGGAGACGGACGGGGAAGGGGGGAAGAGGGCGAGGAACAGTCCGGACTGTATCGTGGACTGTATCAAGATAGACCAGCTGATAGACGTGGGCGAGCTGAGGAGGGGCCGCCAGAACGAGGTCATCGTTATAGCGAACTCCGCCAGGGTTAGGAGCCCCGCGCCGCAGGGGGAGGAGGGGGGCGTGAACCAGGGGGCGAGCACCTCGCGCGAGCAGCGGGGTGGGGGGGAGGAGGACGAACAGGGTAACGAGCAGCACGAACAGGGTAACGAGCAGCCGCCGCCAGTACAGTACCAGGTGGAGCCGCGCCACCACGTGCTGTACGTGAGCGTGGGCCCGCAGGTCAACACGTACCGCTTCCCGCGAGACGCCGCGGACCTGGAGCGACAGGTGGGGCTGGGCCCGGCACCAGGACACGTGGACTCGAGCTCGCTCGTCACAGACTTCGCGATCCGGCGCTTCGGGCGCGCGGACGGCGAGGACGTGAACATCATACACATAGGACCGAACGGGCCCATGTTAGTGGGGCAGAGCGCCGGATCGCGGCCGGATCGCTCCAGCCTGCGATATCTGTCAGTTACTGGCTACAGGAACATCACTGACCGCAGCCTGGCTCACCTCGCCTCCGCCGCGCCCAGACTCGTCTCGCTCGACTTCCGGGACACTAACGTGAGTGAGGAGGGCGCCAGGAACTTCCTCGCGCTGCGGCCCGACTGTGAGCTCGTGTACAGCGCCTTCGTTGATAAGAAGAACAATTAACTAGATACAACATAACTCATGGATCTCATTACGGTTTAGTGTTATAACTCTCAGTCTACAGCTTAGTCTAGACTCGGTAGACTATCGATTCGATTCGCTTTGATTGTAACGTGGTCTATAGTCTAGACTCGGTGTAAGGCAGACGGTCTGGAAGTTATTTAGGTTTAAAGAATTTACAATGTAAAGTCTAGACCACTCGGTAGACTCAGACTGTGAGAGAACTGAACGTTTATTTATTAATAATATGTTTATCTTCCAAAGAGGAAACATTCTAGATAATTATTAATATTAGTGAATAATGTCTGTTGCATTTATTTCTGTAGTCAGTGTCTTCATCTTATCCAAGTGTTCTCCGTCCCCTCAATGATACACAACTCCTGTTTCATCAAAAATAGTTTAATATTTTAACCGATTATAACAATTTATATGAGAATGTTCTGTCAATGTGTTTTGTGATTCCCGAAGAAAGTTTTTATTGAAAATTATTTACATATATATATATATGTGAGGAATTAATTTTAATATAGTGTTTAGATATATATTTCAGTATTGTTATATATTTTGTGCCAACAATGAGAAGACAGTGTGAGTACAATATACAATATGTTTCATCCGGTAGAAAAATAATTGAATGTTCATAGGAAAATATATATAAAATAATATGAATGTGTGTTTGTAAATATAAGGTTCAAATGTGTTTCTCTTTTAACAATTTATTTAAGTAAATGGTTTTTGGATTATTCTGATTGTATTGTATTGTATTCAAATTATTTTTAATATTTATTACTTATTGTGAGTCTCAAACTCTTTTTAATATTTCGTATTTCTGTTGTTAGCTTTAATATAAATTATAAATAAATTAATTAAATTGATTATAATGTGTTTTATTAAAAATATATAATTGTTGTGTTAGTAGAGATGTATACTGATAAATCATGAATTGCGACTTGACATGAAAACTTTTTCATGTCTTTTCTTCATTTTAAAGGTGAGTCTGTGGTCTCAAAATATATAAGTTTCTTTACTAAAACAGTTTGGTATATTATTATGAACTTTAATATATATATGTAGTTTTTGTTATTGTCTGCCAGAAATAAAATATGGTTTAGACTTTAGAGAAAAAAAATGGAGTTTTTTAAGACTGTTTGTTGTTCTACAAGTGTTATCCCATTGTGTAATTGATGTTACTGTAATGTATAAACTATAAGTTTTAAAAAATCCATTGAACAGTCTTTATCTGTGAAGAGCAGACATCTATACATACTCACAAATTATGTATTTCTAGTGTTTTACCTTCTTCTACTTTTCAATTTCCCAGCTTTAGTCAGGGTCTGCCTTACATGTTTTGAATAGTTTTGGATAATTATTTTTAGGACCGGCCGCCTGCCTGACATCAATCCTCTTTGGGAATTTGTATTTCTAGTGTTTTATATATTGTAGTAATATATGAGGGTAGAAGAGACTCCAACGACATATATATTGGAAGCAGTTGACAGAAGAGATCATGACACTCTTTTTGGTTTGTAACGCGTAGGTAATAGATTAGTCGTTAGTAGATTTTAGAAGTTTATTTGTATAGTTTGTCTTGATTTTTAATGTTCTTTACTTCCAGTCATGTTACAGAATGTGTGAAGCCAGTATGTATAGTTTACAAACACTAGTTGATGCTCATGTTGATACAACATTACAATGGTTCAGTATTATCATTCATTATAATCACTCATCATAATAATTGTAAGAATTATAGTGTGGTGTAATTAGTATAACACAGACGGCGCCACCTGTAATATGTAATAGGTCAGCTCCTCAGTACTCGCAGTAAGTTTTATTTATGATTCATTGCTAGTTATCGTTAAAAGTTAACAAACTAGAGTTTAATTTGAACGCCATAAAAAACAAGCAATATAAAGTTTTAACAATCAATTAATTACTTCTCTCTAGTCAAACTGTGAGCAGCGTCTTTGTAAAATGGACGTAAAGTTAATGTATTTTGTTTTTTATTATATTTCACCAGTTTTCTGCGGCTACCCTCCGGTAAGTTGAACAAGATGAATATGATCCAGGACAGTGTGAGACCAGGTTACTGTTTTTACGGGCGTTGTGATTTAATATAAAAGTGTCCTTTTGATATAGACAGCCGTGATATGAGTTTTGTTAAATTATTATTTTAAATTTCAAAAATATATTAAATTTCTTAAATAAAAACAGCTTAAATCCCTCTTAATAACATCTTCTATCTGCAAGTGAAAGTCCCTTCAAAATCGGTCCACCCGTTTCAGAGACTAGAGGTAACAAAAAGGCAAAATAAGAAATGTCATTTTCGCAAATGTACGTACCGTGTCACCATTAGTAGTAGGTGTCTGTAGATTAAGTTAAAAATGAGCTTTCTTAGAACTACTAACTGTATATTTTGTTAGCACTTAAGAGTAATTTTGTTGATTGAATTAATTTATATTATAGACTGGAGACGAAGTCATGCCGGGGAGCGTTCTCCTTCCAGCCACGAGGAGAGGCAGGTACCTCGCGAACATCATTAGGAGACAGGCTGTGGTATGTAGAATATATGTTAATGAAAAACAAATGTCAAAGGTCGTACATGATACTACAGAAGATGAACTGGCTTGTTACAGGACGGAACGGGGATTAAGTTCAACAAAGATGCTGACAGGGTGAGAACGAGTAAATGAATCAATACAGAGATGGTTTAATACTGAAGACGAAACCTCTCATCATTCCATGTATTCACGGCGCGGCTGTCGGTTCCATTGTTTTAGTGAGAGGAGCTTCAATAGTGACTGGGACTTGCAACCCCTATCTAACGCGCGTACCACTAACACGTAACTCTCTACCAAATTTGAAACGAACCTACTAGGGCTGCTTTTGATGTACGTTCCAAGAATGTATTGATATTAGTTCTGGACAGACTTAAGTCTTTTAGAAGGTTATAGGGAAATTTAGCTGTAATACCTTCATTTCAAACTTAATATAGATAGTGGATAGTTTTCGTAATTCTTCCGCCATTATAAATCATTCATATTAATCATTCATTCATAATCAATCATCATTATAGTTCATTCTTGGAACGTACGTCGAAGGCAGCCATAGTAGGTTCTTTTCAAATTTGGTTAGGTAGAGAGAGGAGCTTGTACGGCGTAGGTGAGCGGTTAACGCGCGTTAGATAGGGGTCCCTTAAACCTATACCTGGGTCTCAAGTCCCAGTCACTGTTGAAGCTCCTCTCACTACAACGGTGGACCTGACACACGCACCGTGAATACATGGAATGATGAGAGGTTCCGTCTCGTCTCAAATAGGAATACTAAATGAGAAACGGTATTCTCTTTGTATGGCATAACCCAAACTTGCGCTAGCACACTGAAATAATTCATTATTATTTAAAGAACGTGATATGTCTCTAATTTTATTATCCACGATCGTAACTTTAAAATACCAAGTCGCTACACAATGAAAACAGCTTAGTAGTAAGATTTTATTCTCTTACATTTATACGAAGATCTATAAATGAAATATAAAGCGTGGCGAGATTTTTATACTAAATTTATCACCATATATTCTGAACCTCTCTATATAGATGAATGCTGAAGCCAAGAAGAAGGTGGATGTATTGTCTGAGGAATTGTTGCCCTACATCATAGCGGAGCAGGAGAGACGCACCACACTCTACAAGAGGATCATGACAGCCATACAGAACGGAGAGAAGGGAGTCACCATCGCTGAGATCAGGAACAAGCCGCCCCTCATCATCAGAAAAGGCTGGTTCATTACTACACGAACTATAAGACAAGTCACTGAACGGCATAGTTTCTTAAACCTTAACAATCAAATTAAATATATATGTATATTACAAAATAATTATCTTTATATATAAAAGAAAGTTATTAGTTACACTATTTATAACTCTAACGACTGTACGGGTTTGGACGAAGATTGGTGGAGAAATAGATTAGAACATAGAAAGGATATAGGATATTTAATTCTGTTCGATCGAAGCAAAAAAAAAAAATTTTAATTTATTCTAATATCTGGTTATTTACGGCTTCTGTGGCGGAATAGTGTTCTTCCGGTCAGCTATACATATATTACTAATTCCGAAATTAACGCGAACTAAGTCGCGGGCAAAAACTAATAGAAATAAAATAAGTATATAATATAGTTTTGTGATAAAATACAACAGAAGACTATTATAATAATATTATAATACGTTCTTAAAATATAGTAAGAAAGTCAAAATAATCTTCAACTTAAATTGTTTGAAGTCCATATCTAAGTGTGTCGTGTGTAGGTCTGTTGTACCGGTGCCCTTCAAACCGGGCTCCCAAGGAACCAGACGGCTCTGGGTCTCTCATGTGTGAAGATGACTTGGAGCCGACCCAGGTCATGTATGACTCGTGTTTGAGCGCAGAGGATAAGGAACTCTATGTAGCTGAGAATAAGTACTTCTTTTGCAACCGTAAGGATACTTTTATATTAATTTCATTATTTATAACTATTTGAGGCTTTAACTGTTTTCAACCTGATGGTAAAAAGAAATATAACTTCGAAAAATTGCTTTAAAAACATCTTCATAGCTTGATGACAGACAAATAATTACATGAAAGAAACTAAGAAAATTGGTCTACTCTTCTCAGTATGAAGAATAAAACTATTGTATTTTTCATAGTTAGTTTTATTAAGAAATAAACTGTTACAAGCTCAATCATAACACATCGTTATTGGCCCATAGTGTCAGAGATAATGTAGAGTTTTAGAAACGCCTAAGAAGAATAAGGAAGTAGATTGAAACGTGTATCTTTATCCTTTAAAGGAAAAGACCATCAAACCAAGAGGACACATTTGAAACATTCCTCAATAGTTTTCAACTCTATACATTTTGTTTTGTTTTATTACATCGTGTTATTATAAGCCAGGTCATAAGGTAGAAGGTCCGGACCTTCCTCGTAATGGTAGCACGGTGATCGGCTGCGCGCCCATAGAAAGGACCTCGCTCAACTATACCACGAGCAAGTGTGCGCTAGAAGACACCGATGACGTGGTCGTGCACTATAGATACTACCCCGACAGGGTGAGTACACGACGAGATACTACTACTACACTACTACACTACTACACTACACTACTACCAGTGCCGGCGTTAGAGGGATTGACACCCTGGGCAAGAATATTTTGGCGCCCACTTGAAGAAATCAAAATCGAGTATTAATTTTTTTCTGAACCAATGTAAACACTGAACGTGTATTAAGAATTCTATATTCCATCTACCATCTTCCATCTTTCCTTTAGCATTACCCAGAGTTAACGACGTGGACGCAGAAAGTTATGTAGCTCCTATTTTTTTATTTTTTCATTTATAAGTATCCTACCTCCACTAATCGCCCCCCGAAATTTGGCGCCCTGGGCCGTCGCCTCATCGCCTCCCCCCCCTAGCGCCGGCACTGACTACTACACTACTGAGATGTTTAGAAGAGAGTGACGTCAGCATTCATGACGTCATCAATGTCTATCTACTTAATTCTCGTCACTCTCAAGCTCTTGAAGGTAATCCCGTAGACATTTTGAGGATTTTTTTTTGTGTGGAGATCCGATTTTTAAAACGTCTCGAGTGAGACTATTAATAATAATCTGTACCCTCGCCTCTATATATACTAGTCAAAATAAAATAAGGGCCACCATGTTTTTTTAGTGGATTTAAAGAAATATGGGATTTAGGGATATGAAAATGATTAGATTAAATTATTTAATCAATTTTTAATGTAAAGAGCAGCAGATATTGTTTTATTACTCTAAAATTAACATCCCTTTCTTTTTTTTAGAAAAATCGACTTTTTGACCTAAAATGCACAATATGAAAAAAGTGTCTGATTAAAAAAAAAACTGAATATTTGTCGAAATTTTTATTTTTTTCAGTAACGTGTGTGTCCTCCCCTTTTTCTAACACATTCTTCAAGCCTCGAAGGCATACTCTCCACCAGGTGTCGTATTGTCTCCAGAGGGATTTGTTTCCAGCTTGTCTTTAGCACGTTGATGAGCTGTCGTTCGTTAGTTACCGGTTGATTTGTGTCACTAACGCTTTTATTTAATAAATCCCACATGTGCTTAATAGGGTTAAGGTCCGGGCTATTGGCGGGCCACGGAAGCACCTGTACACTAGCTTCTTCTAGTGCTTCGGCAGTAGCTCTAGCTGTATGAGCGCGGGCATTGTCATGCATTAATTGGAATCCTGCACCAATTCTCTACGAAAATGACACCACGTGGAGTCTTATGACCTGCTCAATGTACCGTTGAGCCGTTACCGTGCCTTCGTTGAGAATTACGAGCTCGGTTCGACCTGATAGTGAGATTCCGCCCCACGCCATTACGTTGGGACCCCCGAATCTGTCACTTTCGTGGATGCAAGCATCCGAAAATCGCTCTCCTTTTCTTCTGCAAACTCTAATGTGACGATCATCACTAAAAAATTTCACTTTGGATTCATCTGTGAACAATACTTTGCTCCATTCATCAATGTTCCAGGCCTGGTGCTGCCTAGTGAACGTTAATCGCCTTGCACGATGTGCGGATGTCAGTGGAATTCGCACTACTCGTCGTCTAGAGAACTGTTGGCCTTCATGCAACCGATTCCTAATCGTTTGGTCACTTACGCGGATGCCCGTCGCTTGGCGCAAGCGGTTTTGTAAGGAACGGGCGGTGACGACTCGCTCTCTGCGCGCAGTTAACCGTATGTAGCGGTCTTCCTGTGCTGTGGTTGCTCGACTCTTGCTTGATCCTAGTCTTCTGGTAACTCTCCCAGTCTCTTGAAACCTAATCCAAGCATTCTGGATTGCTCGCCGTGAAAAACCCAGCTGCAGAACTACAGAACGCTGCGAATGACCCTGTTGAATCAGCTTTATGGCCATAGTTGTGATCTGTATGCCCATATGTCTTCGAATCCTCGGCATTGTTCTTTAAAAATGATAATCACGCACTAACAAAGAGAATTCCTGCAGTTCACCAAGAACTCGACAGTTTAAATGACTCAAAAAGTCGACTTCAAATAGAGTAATTTTTAGTGACTTCGAAAAAAAAATTCATAATCGACCCACTTCAAAAATTAAGTAAGTGATATACTCTCATAATGTTTGTCAACACTTAATGTAACGCCACAAAAAATCTTAACCGGTACCGATAGCTTAAAATTTATTAGATCGCTTCAAACGTCAAAATAAACAAGTGGCCCTTATTTTGTTTTGACTAGTATATACTAACCGACACTCATTGTTTTGACTACACTAGCACTTGAAACCTTATAATTTTAATAGTACATTATAAAGAATTACGCCAATAAGTATTTTGGCTCTGATATTTATTAAAATACAACACAATATAGATTAGTTAAAGTCACAGTCAATCTATTTTTTGAGTTACAGCATGTATCTTAATGAGAGTTTGTCAGTCACTGGTTTGTCATCACAAGTCCTCCTTGAACTTCCAACCAAAAATAGTATTCGCTACATTAAAAACGAAAAGTTTTACAAAGAAGACTACGTTTATACACCGGCTGTACTTTCTCTCTGCAGCTTTTCTAGAACTTGATTCGCTTCTAGAATGTTCATCATATATTTATTCGGTGTATGTTTCAGTCGTACAAATTCGTGTCGGAGCTAGACCCGGACCGTGAGGTGTGTGACCACTGGAACCCTTGTCAGATAGGGTACATATACAGTCTGCCCTCGCCGGACCTCGCGCTGCCCGCCAACGAGCTGTGGCGTGAGTATAGAGAGAGGGAGAGAGAAAGAAAGAGAGGGGGGAGAAAGAGAAAGTGTCTCACAGAGAGACTTTAATGTCACTTTGATAAGAAAGTATTCAAAACTTACATAGGTATTTTCATCACGTCTTAATGATCACGGTTGCTAGAAAACTGAAACGAATTTATATAGACAATAATATAAAACACGTAGTATACGAAAATATTAGTTTAATTTAAATATATATTGTAATAAAATCACGCAATATATTTAACATGAAAAATGAATTGTTGCAGATAACTACGGTGAGTATATACATATGTATATAGGTATAGTTGATATATTATTCTATTACAATAGTTTAAGTTTATACTACACATCATTGTTTATTTCAGAGGAAAGTAAGTATTACATATTATTAAACAAAATATGAATTAATTTGTTGTTTAATGAATACATAAACATAAATGGTTTACAGGAAACTCTGGTAATGTAACAACACGATGATATTTTGTAATATTTGAAATGGTTTTTTATTAATCATTTTGATTTTATTTTAGAATACGAGAGTAAGTAATATTATTTATTAATCTTCAGTTGTTAAAGTGTTCATTTTAATTTAACGTGACATATACAGGGTGACTGGTGAATTACTATCGATACTTGAGGACGTGATATTTGACGATCATATATGACAAAATAAAAATTAATATAACATAAATATTAATAAATTTCTAAGTAAAGTTAACCAAAAGTTATGTAATTAATTACGCATCGTGTGAACACCCTACAGATTAGGTATACACAAAAACACACACGCGCGTTTGGCGGCGTGGTGTTGTATCAGCACGCCGCCGCACGCGTCCACACTAGGTACACTTGGAACGTGTCAACACTTTATTTATTTATACGGAAATTTGGTCAAAAATTAAGTGCCTATTTTTTTTACATAATTCGAATGAGAGTCATGTACCGAGTATTCTCCTTAAATATTGATAGTAATTCACCAGTCACCCTGTATATTCATTCATTCATTCTTTCATTCATTCATATATTCATTCATTCGTAAATATATTTAATGAAAATCCTTCTCATAGTAATATATTTGGTTTATTTTTCAGGAGACGGTGAGTTATGTAAATGTTTTAGTTGCTTTTAATTACATAGTTTAGTTAAGAATTTTTATCTAACAAATGACTTAGTCTTTTGCCACACACGCTACGGTCTACTGGAGAGGTAATCTGTGCAGGTAGAGCGAATAATGGTAGCAATCAATAAACTGCACAGGTCTATTCTCACACATTCCGGTCTACCTGCACAGGTGGACCTCTCCGGTAGACCGTATGTGGCTGGCTTATGACGCAATTGTTTGTTAAAAAAAAAACATAGCTTTTTAGAAATAGATATTTTAAATAAAATTTATAACAATAAAATGGTTTTGTTGTTGAAAAAAATTTGTTTAAAAATAAATGTACTATAATTTATGATAATGTCCATATATAAGTTGATTTAAGTAAATAATGTGAATTTTATTAATATCTATTTTTAATTTTTCGAACAGAGATCGTGCCACGTAAGTTATTCAATACAAATTTTATAATGTACAATACTTATTTGTTAAATAAGTTAATAACACAAAATTATTTTTGATTTTTTAGCGATACCGGGTAAGATAAACTTTGAATTCAACTTCATTAACACTAGTTTCCATCACTCCATACTACTCGTCTCCCGTCTGCCATTCAATACGTCCATCGTTGTAGTGAGAGGAGCTTCAACAGTGACTGTGACTTGTGACCCAGGTGTAGGTTTAAGGGACCCTATATAACGTTAAACGATCACCTCCACCGTACAAGCTCCTCTCTCTACCTAACCGAATTTGTTATATTCTAAGTTACATTTAAATGAATAAAACTCGCGAAAATCTAAGGTTTTATTTTGTTATATTTTTATATTCTCAATGTTTAGTGAAGATGGAACTTGTGGTAACATAACTATATGTTCTATATCTTATATTCTTCACGTTTTTATCTCAGAGGATAGTTCCGAGGAGTTCGTATCTCCGTCAGCTAAGAACTACACGAGTAGCACCAAGAGGCTTCCCGTACCTGAAGGATACACATTCGTCTACATCACGGGATACTCTGTCAATGATAAGGTAAGAAACATATATAATAAACTAGCTTTCCGCCCGCAGCTTCGCCCGCGTGAAGTTCGGTTATATCGCGTTACCAAGAGAACCTTCCAAAAGTCTGGAATAAAAACTATCCTATGTTCATTCTCAAGGTTAACTCTATGTCTGTACCAAATTAAATTAAAATCAGTTCAGTGGTTTAAGCGTGAAAGGGTAACAGACAGACAGACAGACAGACAGAAAGACAGAGTAACTTTCGCATTTATAATATTGATAGGGATAATAAGAACATAGGAAAATATTAAATTGATAATCTTTTAATGAATAAACACTTAAATTAAAGTATTTTCTTGCATTTCAATTACATTTTTATCTTTTAATATTGACGTAAAGTTATCGGAGTCTCGGGTGAATGTTAAATAAGAAAAGTTCAGTTTAATACTGAAATATATAGTTATTTAAAATACATATAATACTACTACTACTACTTTTAATAGTTTTATATAAAACTAGTTTTTGCCCGCGACTTCGTCCGCATTAATTTCGTCATTAGTAATATATGTATAGCTGACCGGGCAAACTCTATTCCGTCTTCGATAACCCGGTATTGGTATTTATTAAATTTCTATTGTTTCAATCGAACAGAATGATTGACATCTTAGTTAGTTGTCAAGTCTAAAAATCGTTTGTATGGGAAATAGAAAAGGGCTGTTTTTAGGATTTTTCCGGCAATTTTTCCAATTTTTCTCACCTTTTAAACCTTCCCTGGACTTCCAGGAGTATTTCAAGACTAAAATTAGCCAAATCGGTTCAGCCGTTCTCGAGTTTTAGCGAGACTAAGGAACAGCAATCCATTTTTATATGTATATATAGAATATTAGTTTTACACTTACATTCCTCCAACTACTATTTTTTTAATCTCAGTGTCGTTACTCAGGAACGCCATAAATTTCATATTTTTTTTTAACCAACGTGGATACTTGTAAGATGTCATTATCTTTAATTCGTCTGTCTTGAATCAGTTAGTTGTAAAATAGATAATAAATGAAAAGTCTCTGTTACTGGAATATTTGTTTCATTTTCATGTATAAATCTCTATTATTACAAAAATATTTTCCTACTTATACAGGGTGACTGGTGAATTACTATCGATACTTGAGGACGTGATATTTGACGATCATATATGACAAAATAAAAATGAATATAACAGAAATATTAATAAACTTCTAAGTAAAGTTAACCAAAAGTTATGTAATTAATTACGCATCGTGTGAACACCCTACAGATTAGGTATACACACACACACACACACACGCGTTGGCGGCGTGGTGTTGTATCAGCACGCCGCCGCACGCGTCCACACTTGGAACATTTGGAACGTGTCCACCCTTTATTTATTTATACGGAAATTTGGTCAAAAATTAAGTACCTATTTTTTTTACATAATTCGAATGAGAATCATGTACCGAGTATTCTCCTAAAATATTGATAGTAATTCACCAGTCACCCTGTACATATACATATATCCAGTAAATTTACGAGATCCATACAATAGGAAGACTTTGATATTTGATTGTCAAATAATAATGAGAGTGTAATACATACTAGCTGAAAAATTAAATATATCCTACACTTACTCCTAGTATGATCGTCACTACACACGCAGCGTCAACAGTTTAATATTCATAACTCACTCAGTATTAACGTATTGAATGACAGACATGAGACGAGTAGTGTGGAGTGATGGAAACTCGTACTAAAGATTCTGATGAATGTTTAAGACTTTTCCTATGTTTATAATAAATACACTAAAGAATCCTGTTTGATTCCAGGAAGTGGACAAGAACGGAAAACTGGTGTACAAGCTGGTGAGATTATTAAAAATACAAGCTACGCCCGCGACTGCAACTAATATATATTATTATTAATATTTACATTAATATAAGTAAAATCAGTAAAATTAAAGTAGCTGGAGCTACTCCTTATCATACCAGTTGTCTGAGAATTAAAGCATCATCGAAATTTAAACAGCCGTTTCAAAGATTAGGTATAACAAACAGATCGACAAATATTGAAAACACGTATATTTTTGTCATATCTATATACAGATACAGTCAGTAAAGAGATTTAATTATAATATTCAAATACATATATTAGTATATATGTATGTTCTTCTTTAAAACTATAGCTATGTACTAAACTAATAATATTTGATTACCCAACCATATATAACACTAGCTGCGCTCCGCGGTGTTACCCGCGGATTTCCGGGATGTAAAGTAGCCTATGTATTATTCCTGGACGTCAGCTTCCTGTATACAGAATTTTGTCAAAATCAGTTCAGCGGTTTGAGCGTGAAGAAGTAACAAACATACAGACACTCACAAACTTTCGCAATTATAATATTAGTTGGATTGTTCTCGTCTTAATGTAAATTTTCCTGTACCAGCGTAAACTGGATCGTTCCTTATACACCACTAAGCTCAGTAACCATGACCGCTTCATCAGTGTGACGCTGGACTTCCCTCACTGGTCAAGTTCCTACTATCAGCAGTATCAGGTCGCGTTCGCTAAGACACCGGACACCAAGCCGTATAAATATGTGCCATTCCTTAGATTGTGTGAGTTATAATGTTGGTGAATTGGTTCTATTAGAAGTAAGGTTTTGATGCAACGATGAAAGAGAGTGGATTAAGTGAACAAAATAATAGATTACTATATACTATAATGGCTCGTAAAGAATGTACTTCATAGTTAGTTGTAGAATATAGAAGATTGAGAATAAGACACAGTTTTGATATAGACATACTTAATTTGAAGTCTACAAGTCTGAATTAATACTAAAAATCAAAGTATTTAACAGTTTGAAATTAACTAGCGCGATATATAATTATAATAAGCGCCATTTTGTGTTAAGTACGTACAACTTCCTTGCCCGGGCAAGTACCAATATGATTTTTCAGAGTCATATGTACTTTCTAAGAGTATTTAGATATCACCGATTAATGCATTCCCAAAAGAGGGTTGACGTCAGGCAGGCGGCCGGTCGTAAAAACAAATAACCAAAACTATTCACAACCATGTAAGGCAGACCCTGGCTGTAGTAGCTGGGAAATTGCCAGGTAGAAGAAGAAGAAAGTCACGTGAAAATCTATCTATTAACTCTAAAATATCAGTATCAACGTGTGATAAGTCTAATAGTATTTTATCTCCAGCTGAAGGCACGGCCAACATAATCTCCAGACGCCTGGAGCTGCTGCAGGGCCAGCAGGCGAACAGCACCCTCATACCTTACAGGTGTGAGAGGTGCAGACTCATCAACCTCATGGTGCGCGCCGGGGACGGAAACGCGTATAACGTGGACTCGGATAGATACAGGCTGCTGGACTCAGTAGACAGGCAAGATCTACTACTTATATATATACTAGCTTTCCGCCCGCAGCTTCGCTCGCGTGGAGTTCGGTTATATCGCGTTTCCAAGAGAACCTTTTAAAAATCTGGGCTAAAAACTATCCTATGTTCTTTCTCAAGGTCAACTCTATCTCTGTACCAAATTTCATTAAAATCAGTTCAGTGGTTTAGGCGTGAAAACGTAACAGACAGACAGACAGAGTTACTTTCGCATTTATAATATTAGTAGGGATACATATATTTCATGCACTGGCTATGAAAGGAAGTGAGAAAGAAAATGCACGCTCTACTCTCTCTCTCTTACCCCCATAGTAATTTACGAACCGTAACACTTTTGTTCGTCTATCCCGATCACAGTTTTCGTTACGCATTCATCAGCCTACTCTTAAGTCAAAGAAGCAGTTATATTTATATAAAAATCGATACAATTTCACTATAAATTTATTAAATTTACTCATAACTAAAAATAATCTTAAACTTATTGATCCAACTCATCGTGTAATGTAATCTGTATATCACAAACGATATATTTAATCACAGTCCACACACGATCTATTAATATATCACACTAACATGATACTTACAGAGAGTGTTGATCTCTTGACCACTGATTATATGTGGCTCACACCTCTACTACACTCATATATATATATATATATATATATATATATATATATATATATATATATAATTAAAGACATTTTTTTCTTTTACAGACAAGGAAAACGGTTTGTATAATTAATCATAAAGAATTAATTTTCATCTTGTCTTAATGATCACGGTTTCAAAGTAACCGAAACGTAGTCGTATTCAGTTAATGTAAAAACACATAGTAATATAAAAATATTAGTTTCATTTAAATGAATACTCACTAAAATCTTATTTTTGATTCAATAATAATTGCAAGTTTAGACAACACCAACTGACAGGCATTCACATCTCGTCTTAATGTTCACGGTTGTAAAGTAACCGAAACAATGAGTATGTAGTTTTTATCAAAAATAAAGTAGTGTAGTACATCAGAAAATATTAGTTTCATTTAAATGAATCAATAGTTTCCCTAGTATAAGTATAGTAACTCCTCGTCTGTTATCAGTCACCAGTTCCTCCAGATCTTGTTGGAGAGCATGAGGCCCCAGGACTTCGGAGACTACTTCGCCGTCCTACAAAACGCGGACGGCCTTGAAGAAAGAGTCAAAGTACTATCAGTGTTGTGTAAGATAATCAAACATTATATATACTCTATAAACTACATATAATTTATTTGAAAATTCGTCGGCTTAGTGTAAATCCGCGTAGCTAGCATTGGCTAATCTGCGTATCAGTATTAGAAGCAGATTGACAGAAGAAAGTTTAAGTTGAAATATTTTCAATTAGTAATAAATTAATCTCTTAAAAGTTACTGATTGTGAATGAAATTACTTTAAACATTGTAAAATTCAGAAAACAATTAAGTTTTTGACTTCTCTTTAATTGAAATGACAAGTTGTATTACGAGTCAACGAGATGGCGCTGGAAGGCATTTAAATAAAACTTATTTTGACATAAGTGATATACTATAAGAAAATTATTAAAACATTGTTTTAACATTATTTTTTATTGTTACAGCACCTGGTAATGTATTTTTCTATACGAATGTAAAATATATATTTTAAGAAGTCTATTTTTATTAAACATTTTGTTATAATTTTCAGATAAAGGTATGTTCGTTTAAGATTTTATTTCTCAATTAAATTATGACCGAGGTGACACGGATTGTTATAAAACATATTTTGTTTTCAGACTGCGGTAAATATATCCTCAAAGTATTTTAATGAAAAAAAAAATGAATTAATTAACGATAATATTAACTTAACTGTTATTCAAAAGCATCTATTTTTAGTTTCTTTTCATACACATCATTATATTTTAATCCAAAATTTTACTAAGAGTATATAATTCATTTTCAGGCAACTGTGAGTGTGTCAATATTTTATAATTCCCGCAATTTCTTTACATTTTTTTTGCATCAAAACTAGTGACTAGTTTTTCTTAATATCGTTGAATCATGAATCAGAAAAATAGGGAGCCTTGTTAATAATCATTTTAATCTTACTCACGTCTAGAAAAATAATAAATATGTCAAATGAAAGTAATATTATTCGGATTACTACGAATTTTTTATTGTTTTAAAATAACTACATATTCAGAGAGATCTCATCTCGTCTTAATGATCACGGTTGTTGTAAAGTAACCGAAACGTTGCCGTATGTAGTTAAAATAAAAAACGCGTATTATACGAAAATATTACTTTCATTTAAATGAATTCTAGCTAAAATCAATCACTTTAATTCAGGAAAATTTCAAACTTTTCCTTTATTTTACGTTATTTCGTCCTTTTCTTTAACTTCCTTAGTTCAAAGGTTAATGTTTTATCGTAGTTATCAAGACGGATCGCCTCACGACCTCTCTAAAGGTCGGAGGTCACTTCGACCACGCCATGACCTACAAGTGTGAGGAGTGTCAGCTGACGGACATCCTCTGTAACGGACACAGCGCGCTCTCCACGGGCCGGGTCACCGTCATACCTGTGTCTAAACTGATCAACTTTAACTTCCCGAGGTCAGTGACCCCCGAAATAACTGTAATATAATAAGATACAACATTTTTATAGTATTAACTACAGTGAAACATATATTTTTCGGATTTGTGGTGTACAAGACCAACTGACAGACATTCAGATATCTTAATGACCGAATGTAAAGTAATCGAAATGCAGGAAGTGTGTAGTTAAAATAATAAAAAGAAAACAATAAGTAAATACGAAAAGTATTAGTTTTATTTCAATATAACAACGTTGAAGATACTGCAAATCCATGTACCTAGCATTAGATAATTCCGAGTATCTGCTTCGAAGCAGTTATACAGAAAAAGTTAAAACCTAAATTATTATCTGAATTTAATATAATGTAATTTCTTTCACAATTAGTAATTATTTAGTGTTTAGTTTATTACTAATTGTAAAAATTAACCTTAAAGGTCGTTAATTTAGAAAATATTTCAGCTTAAACCTAAGTCATAAGATTATTGTTGTAGACACAGTTTGTATAATTTCATATATTAGTTAGCTACTAGCTTTTGTTTGCGACTTCGTCTGCGTTACTTTCAAATTTAGTAATGTATATCTGACCGGGTGAACTCCGTTCCTCTTTAAAGACAGTAGGTAAGAAGATTTTGGATTTGATCAACTTATTTTGCTTTCTTTTATAATTGAATGAAAAGTATCTTATGTATTTTCCCTTGTTCTAATCTATCTCTCAACCAATCTTCATCCAAACCCGTACAGTCGCGGTCGTTTCATGTGTCACTAACATAACTTGCTAATAATTATCAATGTTTTTATATGATTGTAATTTAACTAATCTTTATATTGTTCTTTGTATTTTTTAAGGTTTGAAGATACCAACGCCTGCGTGTATATCGGCTTCTTCAAGCAAGACGGAAAAGTTTATCAGAAAATATTGGGAGTTATAGAAAGTTCGTGAAATTAATAAACGTAAATATAACAATAAATGAATATAAATTTATTTTATTTATATTTTATTTCAGATAATTGTAAGTATTCAATATTACACGTATTTTATCCTATTTCTTTTTTGTATTAATATTTTGTTTATTTCATTTGTCATTCTATTTCAGCTCCCGGTAAAGTATGGTTGTATTATTATTATTTCGTGGTTTTTATATGTATCTAATGTTTTTAATTGTGAATGTCATATAGAGGTCACAATACCATATAAGAAGGTGGTGGATGCCCCTAAGGAAGGAGAACAATTCCAGTACCAGGTCCCATACAACTGTGACAATTGTTTGGTTGATAGGGTGAGTGTTACAAGTGGCCTACTCATTAAATTCTATGCTAAATATATAGGGTTTCAACCAGAGGTTAAGGGAAAACTACGAAATTTATATATGTATATTATAATAAGAATTACATATTAAAACTTATAACCTACACCTTTGACTACATGATAGACCCGATGTTAGGATAGCAATACCATTCCATAGCTTGTGTGTATCAGGAATCTTCTGGTTCACACGGCTTGGTGTTCGTTCCGCGGAGTCAGCGGCGTCACTCGTTATACATATATTTTATCCATACAGAGTTGTCGCCCCTGCGATGTTTATTTATTGCTTAGTATTTAGTGCGTACGTAACAAGCTAAAGAGTTTGTTTATTTGTTTGAACGCGCTAATCTCAGTGTCATTGAAAAATGTCTTTTTGTTTGTAAGGAAGGGTTTAGGATATATAAAATAACTTTGTGACTAATAGGAGTGAAGAAACATTGTATACTATAATCTTTAGAATTATTTTTACAACTAAATTAATGATAATAATCAACTTGTGTTTGTAAACTATCAATACTGGCTTTAGACATATTGTAATACATTACTAGAAGTAACTATGAACATTGAGAATCAAGACTGAAAATTTCATGAACTAAAGTTTCTCTGCAAACTCTTTTTTATTTTGATTTCAATACTAATGATATGTAAAGAATGTTTGTGAGGATGGATGTTTGTTGCTTTATTACCTAATAACTACTGAACTGATGGTGATAATATTTCATATCAATGGGTACAATTTATTGCAAAATTCGGTGTGATTACCTTAGTATCTTTGCATAACAGTTGTATAGCATGAAGTAATGTGACACACACGATAGATAGATATGAACTGTTTTAACTAAAGCCAAGTATAGTCATACAAAGTCGGTGGTAAAAATTTGTTTTATAAACAGAGTTTATTTTAATAAAATATAAAGAATTTTATTTTTTTTTAGATTTAATCTTATCATTTTATATTTTAATGGATCTTAGTCACTTGAAGACGAGACGAGAGTGTGTTAATGTATATGTAAAGTAAAGGAACGTGTTTTTTTGTATATTTTTTTTATTATTTCAGGTTTACTGTGATGGAATACAATTAGAACTGATGAGTTCGACTCGTAGGAGCGGAGTTGGGTCCATCGGATATTATGAGGTGAGTTAGAAAAGACTGTACAAAGATAAACTATGTCTATGAGAAAGGTGGCAAAACAAGCAGACAGGCTTCTTGATGGAAGGTAATCACCGTTGCCCATGGACATCTGTAACAAAAAAAAAGTATTGTAGATGTAGGTATATAGTGTGTTTGATTTAAGCTGAGTTTTACATTTGTATGAGTGCACACGGATAGTGTAGGTGTGATGTCAAATTTTTGAATACAACGTACTTTTCTAGTTTTGAACCGGTTTATTCGCTTTTACTCCGCCCCGCACTTTCCTCACTTCACCCTTTGTACTGGTAGCAAAATCAAATATTGAAAACGATGTGTCATTAGTGAAGAAGAATTTGTATACTTTTATTCAAATATTTTATTAATTATTTTTTTTTTTCATAACATTCATAATATTTCTATCTGGCCTTTTACAAGTTTTGCTTATTTTGTAGCACTTACGTTATGTATCTATTTAAAATATGATAAAATTGAATTCTAAAAGTTTTTTGTCTAACTCTACTTTTACTTTCACTCACACAAATGTAAAGCTCAGCTTAAGTCTAACGGACTATAGCCGACTTAAATAATAATAGTGCGTGGAGTTCCTCCGCGTTAAAGAAATAAACTTTCGTAATATGGAAATGAAAATACGAATTGGTAGAAATAAATATTTAGTGAACTTATACTGTTTAAGACAAACTTTATAAACATTGCTTAAAATTCACAATTCACCCACCCTTACTCTCGCTATCTCTTGCTATTCCCCCATCGTTAAACGTTTAACGCCACCTTATTGGAAGTTGCATAACAAGTTTCATTATCAAAAGCATATGTAATTATCTGTTTTATAACGAGTGGGTTCGTTTAAATGAAACTATTATTTTCGGATTATACAACGCGACTTTGTTTTTGATAAAACTTCATACTCCCGATGTAATCCGAAAAATAATAATTTCATTTAAATGAATAAGTGTCTCGAAAAATTTAGATGTCATTACGAGTGGGTTCCTTACCTCCCTCCACCTATTAGGGGCCGTTCAAGTATTACGTAAGGACTATGGAGGGGCGGGAGTCTTTGGTTTGATTATTTTGGATGGCATGGGGGTAGGGGAGTCTAGATGATGATTACGTCATCGGTAGTTGTTTACTTTTTAATCGTCACATAGAGTAGATCCATAAAAAATATAATTATAACCTTTTTCTGGATTTATATGAAAAAAAAACAATACAGTAATTGAAAATGTTTACGTAAGCATGGGGGGAGGGGGTAAGAGCTTTGCTTACTTTTGCTGACAAGGGGAATGGGGGGGTAAATAATTGTAATAAATCTGCTTACGTAATACTTGAATGGCCCCTTATTACTTCCACTAAATGTAAGTATCTTTATCCACATGTGTTACGTCAGTCTGTCTGTCCGTTTTTCTCCAGGTGAGTCCCACAGACATTACGATCAGGATCACGGAGTTCAGTCCGACCTTCGAGGGTGTGTACCAGGCTGTGTTCGTGCTGGGCGGAGACACAGTCAGCAAGACTATACTGGAAATACGGTACGAGACATATATATAGGAGTTTAGACTTTATTATTATGAAGATTAAGTGTTAAATCTAATGTCATTTCAATGATTTAGACTGAATCTATATACATATATAAATGACTTGCTGTTCGTTAGTCTCACTAAAACTCGAGAATGACTGAACGGCTTTATCTTATCCTAGTCTTGAAATGTTCGTGGAGGTTCAGGGAAGGTTTTAAAGCTGAATAATATTTATTCATTTCCGGGAAAACCCTAAAAACAGCCGTTGTCTATTTCCCATACCAACGTTTTTTTGGCATTAGATTTGACAACTAACTTATATGTCAATCATTCTGTTCGATTGAAACACAAAAAATTAAATAAATACCAACCTGGTTATTTAAGACGGAATAGAGTTCGCCCGTCAGCTATACATATATTACTAATGATGAAATTAAAGCGGACGAAGTCGCGGACAAAAACCAGTTAATAATATTTCATACTATTATTATTAACAAGATGTTTTGAGGCAACGAAAGAGTCATCATTATTTTATTGTGTGTTAGTCAGGTTGAATGGAGGTTGTTGTTCATTCACGTTATCCTTGTCATATAATTATAAAAGGTAGGTTTTAATTAATACTGATGTATACTTCCAGTGATCCTGAAGCTCATGAGGGAGAGGACTCGGACCAAGAAGAGAGTAAGTAATATAACGTACTTTATATATACATATATATATATATATATATATATATATATATATATATATATATATATATATATATATATATATATATATATATATACACTCGCGACTTACATCTTGATAATGACAAACATCACACATAAATGAAACTAATATTTCTCGGATATATACGAGACATCTCGTCTGTCCCTGACCACGGTAGCTGTAAACTAGCCGAAACGTGGTGTATCCAGTTTATAATCAAAAATAAACCGCGTAGTATACCCGAAAAATATAAGTTTCATTCAAATGAACAAAACTCGCGAAAATCTTAGATCTCATTAAATATTTGACATTACTGAATTATAATACATTTAATAAATGTTTCTTGAAAATTATAACAAATTATATCACATATTATATAGTAATGGTGTATGTAACTCATTGATGGAGAAACGGGAAACTCTTCGTTTGTAGTAATGATTTCTACTCATATTAAACACATTTTGGCAGTGTTTTCTGTGTTATACAGGGTGACTGGTGAATTACTATCAATATGTATGGAGAATACTCGGTACATGATTCTCATTCGAATTATGTAAAAAAAATAGGCACTTAATTTTTGACAAAATTTCCGTATAAATAAATAAAGTGTGGACACGTTCCAAGTGTTCCAAGTGTGGACGTGCTGATACATCATCACGCCGCCGCACGCGCGTGTGTGTGTGTATACCTAATCTGTAGGGTGTTCACACGATGCGTAATTAATTACATAACTTTTGGTTAATTTTACTTAGAAGTTTATTAATATTTATGTTATATTAATTTTTATTTTGCCATATATGATCGTCAAATATCACGTCCTCAAGTATCGATAGTAATTCACCAGTCACCCTGTATACCAACAGAAAAATAACTCATCAGTTAGTGACGAACACACGTACACTCATCAACAATATATTCATCAAAATTAGTTTAAAAGGCATCTCGTATTAATGATCACGTTTGATGTAAAGTAACCGAAACGTCGGGAGTATGTAGTCTATAAACAAAAATAAGTCGCGTTGTATATCCGAAAATATTAGATTCATTTAAAATGTCTTTATTTAAAATATTTGCATATCAAACACATTTTTATTGTGAGTTTTATATTAATTCATATTATAACACCAGCTACCGAACCTCTGGAAGCGACGACAGAGGTCGCCACAGCCGCTGCCTCAGAGGAAGCTACTACTGAGGCTGCTACCACCGCTGGTAAGAGCTTAAAACTCCTTTATACTTATTTCTTCTACCTGGCATTTCCCATCTTTAGCCAGGGTCTGCCTTACATGTTGTGAATAGTTTTGGCTAATCGTTTTTACGACCGGCCGCCTGCCTGACTTCAACCCTCTTTGGAAATCCGCATTAATCAGTGATGTCTAAATACTCTTATAAAGTACATATGATACGAAAAAATATCATTGGTACTTGCCCGGGCCAGGATCGAACCCGCGCTCTCGTGCATGAGAGGTGGGCCTTTTAACCACTAGGATACCATTGACTAAATTTAAATCCTTGATACTTACTACCTTGAAAGAATCTCTCATCTCCAAGCTTATACAAATAATAAGATTTACCATAAGGCCTCTAGATCGTGGTGGTCTAGTGGTTAAAGGCGCGCCTCTCATGCATGAGGGCGCGGGTTCGATCCTGGCAAGTACCAATGTGATGTTCCGAGTTATATGTACTTTCTGAGAGTATTTAGATAACATTGACTGATGAAGGAAAGCATCGTGAGGAAACATGGACTTATTACAAATTATAATTTTAAAATCTACAACCTGTCTTGAGCGTGGTGATTAATGCTCAAACCTTCTCCATGTGAGAAGAGGCTCAGCAGTGGGCTCTGATAGGCTGATGATGATGATTACTCCTCTACTGAAACTGCCGTTTACTGGTTCTATCCTTACCAATAGTTACACTACATCGTCAAACTCAACACGATCTGTCTGCACGTTAATATTTTAAACCTTTATATCGATACTATGTATTAATGAATACTTTACTGTCGGTTTGAAAGTACAAACTTGTAGTAATATTTATTTTATATGTTCAATAATTTTTTTTATAATAATATTTTTTTAATATTTAACTTGTTTCTCTTCTGTTTTGTTTCAGCTCCAAAGTGATATAATTGGGGCCACAATAAACAGTTAAATGTGTGACAGAGTTTTATTTACAAACTTTTTATTTATTTAAATTTCAAAGAATTAGTTTTTATTATATAAATAAAGTTTATTTCTTTGTATCAGATTAAAGTTAGTTTTTGTGATTAATGGGATGATTTACGAGCAATATCTAAATATACAGGGTGACTGGTGAATTACTATCAATATTTAAGGAGCATACTCAGTACATGATTCTCATTCGAATTATGTAAAAAAATAGGTACTTAATTTTTGACCAAATTTCCGTATAAATAAATAAAGTGTGTACACGTTCCAAGTGTTCCAAGTGTGGACGAATGCGGCGGCGTGCTGATACAACACCACGCCGCCGCGCGCGAGTGTTTGTGTGTGTGTGTATACCTAATCTGTAGGGTGTTCATACGATGCGTAATTAATTACATAACTTTTGGTTAACTTTACTTAGAAGTTTATTAATATTTATGTTATATTAATTTTTATTTTGTCATATATGATCGTCAAATATCACGTCATAAAATATCGATAGTATTACACCAGTCACCCTGTATAGAGATTTAGGCATTTATTTAGAATTTAGGCAAACCCTGGCTAAAGCTGGGAAATTGCCAGGAAGAAGAAGAATATATAAATATATAGAGTGGTAGATACATTTAAGATGTGGCCTGTGGTCGCTGACTCCTCCTTAAAATTATTATAATTATAACATCTATGTACATGTGAAAGTTTCATCAAAATCGATACAGCTGTTACAGAGATTAGACGTACACAGATAGAGAGAGGACAGTTAAAAGTAAAATTCATATAGACCCATATTAATTTCGTGAAAAGAAATTCATTATGTAAACAAACGAAAAATCATTTTATTTGTACATTTAGTAACTGCGTCCGAATTTCTAAAAAGATAATAACAATATTATGACATTTGACAATGAGATTTCAATTAAAATGGACAAATATAAAAGGTAAATTAAGGAATAAAACGATGAACTGCTAACTCCAGTTAAACAACAAATAAAGGACTTACAGAGTAATATCCTTAAAATAGCTTTAAACTAATTGCTAACACAATATTAACAGTCAAAATCATATGTTGATGTCGCCTCGACGACGGACCACCGAAAAGTGAGACAGTCTCTTTGTACTCCTTCTATTTTGTTTTCTTTTTTTTAGTAGTTCCTTACTATATATATAAGATATATTGTGATTTGTATAACAAAATCAACTAAAAGATTAATGGTTTCTCTGAAACAAAATAATTTGATTGTTAAGTCTTCTAAGGTTACAATCTATCTTCTTCTTCTTCCTAGCAATTTCCCAGTTATAGCCAGGGTCTGCCTTACATGTTGTGAATAGTTTCGGCTAATTGTTTTTACGACTGGTCGCCTGCCTGACATCAACCCTCTCTGGGAATAATCTATACTCGGTTCCGAAATAACAAGTTTATAAGACTGACCTGTAAAAAAGAGTACCTTTAAAACTATTAATTTACAATGTAGATTACAATATAACAATTATATGAAATATAAAATATGATCTATTTAACAAATTCTCTTCTTGGTAAAAGTTTCGTTGTACTTTGAGGTCTTCCTTCACTTGGCGTTTATTTGTGTTCGGCCAAATAAGACCATGTGTGGAGGATTTATTCGTCTTCATTTGACATATTTGAACAAATAACACACATACATAAATAAGCGGAAACGCGTAAAGAGGCATGCCAAGTGTGGATGTCGTGTTTGCGATATTTCGACTTTATACAAATATATGGACGAATGCGGCGAATACGCAACGCCAAGTGAAATGCCACCACTATACAATTTCAAATGAACCATATATAACAATATTTGGTGTTTGTCTATGAGACGTCAAGAAAATTATATTTTTGTTTCATATAAAACACTAGAGAAAACTTGAATAAAATAATTAACCTCATTATAAAACAGTTACTTGTAGTATGAAGTGTTGTTAATGAGTGTAGTTAAAATGTCTCGACAGAAGGTTAATGTGAGCCACGTAGTTAAAATATAAAGAAAATTTAACTTTGATGATAGTTAACAAGAATTATGGTAATTAATTTTAGTAATAAATGATGTATATATGGCCATTACCAATGTGATTTTTCCGAGTCATATGTACTTTCTAAGAGTATTTAGACATCACTGATTAATGCATTCCCAAAGAGGGTTGATGTCAAACAGGCGGCCGGTCGTAAAAACAATTAGCCAAAAACTATTCACAACATAAAGCAGACCCTGGCAAAAAGCTGAGAAATTGCTAGGGAGAAGAATATATATATGATAATATATTTATGTAATCTTGTCTGTCCATCGGTCTATTCCGATCAATCTATAAAAAAGTTGCATTAATATTGACAGGACTTTTACTGAAACATAGCTGATGTAATAAGGAATAATTAAGGTAATTTTTTTTATATTTTTATTAATATATATGTTGTTCTTTTACAAGTAAGTCTTATCATATAGAGGCATGTTATTCCTTGTTCAATCTCTATACATTTTATACTAGTATTTCTTCCTTACACAAGCTGTTTGATTCAAACACATGTTGATATTACTGTGGATACTATTCTAACAAATTGTTTTTATTCTTAACTAGCTTGCCGCAAGCAGCTTCGCCCGCGTGGAGTTCGGTTATATCGCGTTTCAAAAGTCTGGGATAAAAACTATCCTATATTCTTTCTCAAGGTCAACTCTATATCTGTACCAAATTTCATTAAAATCAGCAGTTCAGCGGTTTAGGCGTGAAAGCGTAACAGACAGACAGACAGAGTTACTTTCGTATTTATAATATTAGTAGGGATAAATTATTATAATAAACTGTAGGTTTCCTCATAAACAAATAAATAAATAAAAGATAGGTACATATATACGATTTCGTACACAATTATACTTCTTTAAATCGTACTGAGATCAATAAATTCCGAAACTTGCTTTAAAACGTATTAAAACCTTTTTGTTTGTTTAATCCTTTTGTCTCAATGTTTCTAGTAATCTTTAAACATCACTAAGATGTTAATCGTCTTAACTCTAATTATTTGAAAGGAACCAAATTTCTTTTGTTCGGGAAATACTGTTTTTATTGTATTTCTAAGAAAATACTACTAATATTAAAAGGTACCTACTTATAAATAAAGGTGTGTATGAAAAGTGTGTAGTATATATTTGTATACTTTATTTTGAATGTTACTTAGAGCTGAAACTTCTCATCATTCCATGTATTCACGGTGCGTGTGTCGGGTTCATCGTTGTAGTGAGAGGAGCTCCAACAGTGACTGAGACTTGTGACCCAGGTGTAGGTTTAAGGGACCCTATCTAACGCGTTAAACGATCACCTCCACCGTACAAGCTCCTCTCTCTAACAAACTTGAAACGAACCTACTAGGGCTGCCCTCGAAGTACGTTCCAAGAATTAATTAAAGTAAGTTAATGTCTTTAGTCTGAAGAATGAATATATGATTCTTAACCAGATGAAAATACGTATCTTTGTTAACATCAGGTCAATTTTTAAATACGTTTTCTTAATTTTTTTAAGATTTATCATAAAAGTAGATCACATGATTCTTTATAATAAACGTCTCTATGTTTTTCGTTTGAGCCTAAATTATAAGATTGAACGATGCTAAAATTCAAAAGCCTTATTATCCACACTACTGGTCTCCCGTCTGTCATTCAATACGTTAATACTGAGTGAGTTATGAATGATTTACTGTTGACGCTGCGTGTGTAGTGACGATCATACTAGGAGTAAGGTTGCTTTAAGATGTCAAAGAGAGTCATTCAACTCCACGAAAAGTCTTCTATTGAGATCAGTTTTCATCTCTTTTTAATACTAATGAAGATTTTAAACTATTTTAACTAAACATTTATAAAATTATAAGTCCTTTCGTATTTATTGATTAGGTTAGCTCACGTCAGTAGAAAACGAACTTGAATTGCAAACAGTACATCTATTTATAATCAATAAAAATAACACAATATTAGTAAAAAAATAACCAAAAATAATGATTTTCTAAGATTTTAAGTATTAATTTAAATGAAACTAATATTTTCGTATACTACGCGTTTATTATTTTAACTACATACGACAACGTTTCGGTTACTTTACAACCGTGATCATTAAGACGAGATGTGAATTTTTGTTATTTATGTAAAAAAGTAATATTATTATAATTAATTTTAGCGAAAACTTTCGCGACACAAACTCGCTCGGAACGAAGCGGGTCCAAAGACGAGTCAGTAGTGGTGTAACATCGCGAGGGACGGTTGTCTTGTTAACAGTTTAACTTGAGTTTAATTTTACAGTTAGTTAGTGAGTTATGTTAGTTATATAAACAGGTTAGTGGTTTAACTTACTTTAAATAACTTAGTTTAAACTTTATATTTATCAGTTAAACATGACATTCTTGTAAACGTTTTTTTTGGTGCATTTCTTTGTTTATTGAGACTTTCGTTTTGTTATTTTTGTGAAACAAGTTATAATTATATATTATTGCTTTATATTAAATTATTTGAACCACTTAATGTGTTTAGAAAAACATATATATATATATATATATATATATATATGTATTTAGAAAGTTAATACATAACATAAATACATAATTATTTGACAATTATAGTAGAAATATTTTAGGAAAGACAAATTATACTACTATTTATTAATATTTAAAGACTCTACATAAAGTTTTTAGAATTTTGTTAAAAAAAACTCGGAAACTCTAAGAATATATACATGTATGTATATACTTTCTTTATTAGTTCTAAGTTTTAAATAGTATTATAAAACAGTAGGGGAGGTAGGGGAGGGATGGGTACTTTTACACTATTTATTGCATAAAAAATCAGATTTTATAGATAATCAACTTTTATTGCCAATTCTTACAAAGCCACAGATTTGACTAGATATGATTAACGAGCTTACTTAAAAAATACAATCAGTTTCTACATTACGAGATATTTTATAAA